TATATATATATATATATATATATATATATATATATAATACAATATATTACATGAATTTGTTTGTGAACTGTGTAGGAGTTATCTGAGGCGACATCAATAGAATTTCAAGATGTGGTGGTTTGTCTAGAGAAGCAGGGGGTGCTGCAGGTGCGGGGTGATTGCTGCTTCTTGCTGCTGCCCCCTGAGAAGCTGCAGGCGCTGCAGAAGTCTGTTGGGCGGCCATCGCGACGCGTGCTGCAGCAGGCCTTGCATTGGGTCCCTTATGATTACTATACCGCTCCGTTAGAGTCTACACCGCAGCAGTAAACAAACAAATTTCAGCTGCTCACATGCAGCAGCAACAGCGCAGCAGCAGCAGCTGATGCTGCAGCAACAGCTGCAGCAACAGCTGCAGCAACAACAGTATGCTTGCAGCAATAGCAATAGCAGCAGCAGCAAAAACAGAGGCAGGAACAGCAGCAACAATACCCTGCTGCTGCTGCTGCAGACTGGACTGCCTGCAGCGGGTGTCAATGTCGTTATTGCTGCTGCTGCTGCTGCTGTTGCTGCTACTGCTGCTGTTGCTGCTGCTGCTGTTGCTGCTGCTGCAGTTTGGTTTAGGATATGTGTATCGCATTTAAACTCCGCGCGCGAATTGCAGCGGTTTTTCTTTTGTCGTTTTTTTCTTCTTTTTTAATTTTATTTCGGTTGAGAGAGCAGAGAAGTCTCTCTCCCTGATGAAGTATCAGTAAAAGAAGAAAGAATAAGACAAAAAGCAAACAAAAACAAAACAAAAACATAACAATTTGAATTGTATGATGAGGCTGAGAAAACTTGAATATGAATATCAGTACACATGTTGGTTGCATGCAGACATGATAGCATCAAGGCAACATCTTAATTCATATTTTTTCTTTTTCTGTTTTCTTTTTTTTTTTTTTTTTTTTTTTTTTTTNTTTTTTTTTTTTTTTTTTTTTTTTTTTTTTTTTTTTTTTTTTTTTTGCTTCTATTATTAAAGAAGCAGAATTATGAATTATACCATTAATTAATTAAAGAAAGCAGCAAGAGGGTGCATGCGCATGCAACGCTGGAGAGACAGAAAGCAAGAGAAGAAGAAATGATGTTCAAGTTGTATTCGATTCTATTGGGGCCTGTGCTTTTTTTATTCTATTCGGGAGGCATGAGCAACTGCTGCAGCGCGGCGGCAGCAGCAGCAGCACTGCAGCGCTCAGCAGCGTTGCATCACTATGATGTTGCTTTGTGTATTTCTACTCGCGTACAGGGCGGATATATACATGTTCAACATCCAGTGTTAGTGCATGCAGCAAACGAGAGTTGGATACACATGCATGCGGAGTTGCCTTGCAGCGCGGTGCGTTGCAGCTCCTTTCAGGCTAACGCATTTCCCCCCGCCATAGGCCCTTGAGGCTTGCAGCCCCAGATAGCCTGCGCCCAGGAGAGGATCTCAGCCGCTGTTTGTAAGGTTTTACTTTTGAGTATTCTGACCCGGTTGCAGCTCACAACGGTCCTTGAATAGGATCGAGGACTCTCCCTACGACTGCAATCAGCAGCAAGTTTACTGGTGTAATGGGTTGGTGCTTGCGTTGCTCTTTGATTTTGGCTGACGCGTCTGCAGGCTGTGCCGGGGTTGGAGCTGCTTGCTGAGTGTTACAGTAACAAGTGTACTGAAGCTACAGCGGTGCGCCGCTCAGATGAAACACAGAGCCAGAGAAGTTGGGATGCATGTACACCGAAATCATAAGGATGTATCAACTAGGAATATCAAATTTCTGCTAGAGAATGCGCTTATTTGTCCTTCTCTTATGCCTTGTTTTGGTGGCGCTAACAGATGGCAGCAGCGACAGCAGCAACGTACTCCTGCTTACGTCGTGCTCCGTGAAAATTCAAACGTGAATGAGCAATGATCATCAATTAAAAATTTTATTTCAATATTTCCAGTATTTAAGAGTCGTGCAGAAATGCATGTCATCGTCGGCGGCAGCCAACGTGAAGGCGGCTGGCGTGGGGCGTCGAGCCTGCACGCCTAAGGCTCAGCCTAAGCGGCACAGGCGAAAGGGGTTAAATAAACTGTTATTTGTAATATTTTGTTCCTTTTATTGGGATTGTTTTGTATTTTATTCATAATTTTAGCCTGTATACACATAATAATCCCTTCGCTGGCCTATTTTGCATCATATCTGGCGTCCGCGTCACGCCTCGTTGCCCTGTTCTCTTGACCACCTCGGTTTCTTCTCGGTTTGTCGTCAGTTTCCTCATTAACCGCTGTGTTTGTGCATTTAATGCATTTGATGTGCCATCCTAGAGGCAAATTAGAACGGAATTTCATCTCATTGCGAGGCGGCTTCTCCCGCTTGCTTGCAGGGTACCCCCCCAAGCATATGCACGAGGCGTACCGCTCCGTAAGCAGCAGAAGATATTTTTCCTTCTTCTTATGCCCTGGCGTTTGCGCTAGTCTTTGTGCTTGAAGTAAACGCACTTCCAGCGCCGACGGCACCGCGAGCTGCCGTTGCCTCCGCTGCTGCTGCTGCGTTTCCGTTTCGCCTCATAGAGTAGCAGACTGCCTGAGCGCCTTTGTAGAGGCCGAGCTTCACTTTTTCAGGCTGTTTGACAAATGCGAGCCGTATGATATGAGACTTCAGTTTCAGGAGTTGCTCATGTGTGCATAAACCCGAGGAGTTTGACGGTTGCTTGTGGTGGTAAGATCGGTTTGCCTGCGAAAGATTATTTGTACCAGATAAATATATTTATTTATGATCGGAAATCCTTCGTCATATGTTTAGTGCTTATTATGCTTTTGCTAGATAGCCTGTAATATCATCCGTTTTTGTTGCTTTCGTGAGATATTTCAGCTTTTCTGTTGCATGAATGTTGGCCCCGCGGACGTCTGCAAACTCTTCGCCATATTCTTCTTCCGGGCTACCTTCTCTCTCGTACGAAACCCCAAAAGGCGTCTCTCAGCATTCTCCTCTGAATATCAACGAATGGCAGATACCATGGCTAGAGGAGGGCAAGGCTCTCTCAGCAAGAAGAGAGAACCGTCTGTACGCCAGCAGGTTCCTGGCGGTGCTGCTCTGCAGCTTCTTAGCTGCACTAGCTATACAAATGGGCCGCCATGGCCCACCCCGGGCTCCTGTAGCGAAAGATTCACCTGAGGTGTCTGCGCTTACACCGGAAGGGAAAGCGTTACCTGCAGGAGAAGTTGCCGATTCCCCCGCGAAGGCGCCGCAAGCAAAATTGAAAGAAGACAGTGACATAAGTGACCTTGGTTCTCCTTCTGAGGGCTCTAAAGATAGTGAAGAGCAGAATATAGTCACAGAGATAGTATATATTGATTCGCTAACACCAGAAGGACCAAAGGAACCCGATTCACCCTTTAAGAAACGGGAGTCCCGTTTCTTGGGGTTGCCAGACATGGACGGAGCAGAAGCTGCAATGCCTGAAGCTGCGCTTCGTGGGAAACGTTTCCTTGCGAGTTCCGTAGGAGGAGAAGAATCTGACGATGAACAAGAAAAAGAAGATGAAGAAGAGGCGGCAATTGAGGAGGAGGGTGCAGCAGATCCGGCTTGGGCTGCTGTAGCGAAGGCCGTATCACACGGCGAGAGGGAAAAACTTATAGGGGCATCTGTTTCCCTTACATCAATACAACCAGTTGACGCCTCGCTGCCTTCTGGGGCCTCCGAGAGGACCCTGAAGATCACGCGGGTGCTGGGGAGGGGCATCAGCAGCCTGGTGGTTGAGGCGATTGATGAGCAGACGCAGGAGAAGTTCGCATTGCGGCTGCAGGTGCTTGAGAAGCTGAGCTTGCCTCTAGCTGAGACAGAGAAGAAGATGCAAACGGAAGTAGCAGGGGAAATGCAGTGTATACGCACGGCGGTTGAGGGGGTAGGGGCAGCGCGGGCAGCCACGAAGAGAGGATTGGCGGTGCCTCTTTACACAGCAACAATTGCAGGGGCCCCTGCCCTGACGACGTGTGGGGACCTGTATGTCAGTTCAAGTGTACAGTTGATGGAGCGGCTGCACGGGAGCGTGCAGGACATCATTCAGAAGCTGTGGCGCATCCCCGCCGAGGCGAAGCTGTACATTGCGCGGCGGCTGCTGCTGCAGGTGCTGCATTTGCAGGCAGCAGGCATTTCGCACAACGACATTCGCCTGGCGAATTGTTTTATGCTTCCTGATGGCTCGTTTCTGTTGGGGGATTTCGGCGCGAGTGCTCCTTTTGGCTGCAAGATGAGGGAGCTCTCGCGGGTGCCCATTGCATATGCTGAACCGCAGCTGCTTGTTGATTTGTACAGATTTCTCAATTTCAACGGCCCTTCTGCAGTCGCCAGCGCGACTGACGATCTGTGGTCGCTAGGAATTGTCCTTTTCGAGTTGTTTGCTGATGGGAAACTGCCTTTTGGCCTTGCAGGCCTTCGCAACGACTTCGCCGCCATGCAGTCTTTCGCGGAGGATCTGCTCAAGGGGGAATATGATGCGGAAGCCGCACTTGCTAAGGTTTCTGCTGAGCTGCAAAAGGCACAGGTACCTGAAAGCTGGATCCAGTTGATCTGCACCCTGTTGGAACCCCGGCGAAGCCGACGACCCTCCTGGGCCGCAGTCGCCGAGAGCTTCCCTGACCTGTTCCAGGTGGCGGCTGGGTAGTGACCGTTGGCCGGCATTCAAGCATAGTTGTATGCATGTACGAATGCAAGCGCCAACGAAGTGTCGCAACAGTGCATGCCTTTGTTTTGTTCATCATTAGCATACTTATGTAGTCATACATCCCCTTTAGGTTGCACAGCGGCCCGCTGTGCTTCTCGTCATCCAGTGTGCCAGTACACTGCAGAGCCAAGAAAAGGCTTGCATTTGAATCATATTCGTTCTGTTGCACCTTTTGGTCTGCTCCCGCTAGTGACGCTGCCTAGAAGGCGCCCACGGGTTGCACCCGTTCATGTTTCACTCAGCAGCTTTCGCCTGGAGGGGTACGCGCAGGTCAACTGGAGCCGACGTGTTCCATACAGTCGCTGTATTCAAGTTGCGTCTGTGATATTTTTGTTCTTTTGTTTCTGTTCGTGACAACTCATGTTGTTCGTTGCCATGTTTGGCTGATTTTTGTAGTTTAGTGATGTGTGTCTTCTTATATATATATATATATATATATATATATATATATATATATATATATATATATATTTGCACTTCGCTTCGACGCGACCACACTGGCGAAAGCTGTCATGGCATTAGCTTTTACCAAGACTATAATGTTCCACTGCTTCTAGTTTTAGATGGCTCAACTGGTTTGTTTCCCTTTTTGCCCCGAACTTGACTGGAAACTGCTGGTTTGCAGCAGTTGGAATATTTAACGTCTATAATTGTTGAAATATTTTGAAAATGAGAGAACGAATTGAAGGCTGAAGGAGCCGAATAGGCTTAGGAGGTATTGTGCGCTTAGCTTAACTTCTCGATATTATCTTTGCGGAGGGGTTACCAGTATGCTGAAGGAGAAATTTTGTTTCCACCATTGGTAGGCACCACCATAGCAACAGACGACCAGCAAATGCAGCCAAGGAGGTCGCCTCGCTTGCACGCAGCACCTCAGTTTATCTTTTGACGCGAGAATTCACTATTTCGCGTTTCGAGTCATTGCATGGTCCTTCATACATTTGAAATTATACTTCATGTTTTTTCATTGGCGTCATTTTCGAGATTAAACAAGACCTAGACCTCTGGCATGCTGCCGCACTGGCCCTGTTAGCCCGTGTCGCGCTCGACGCTCACGCAAAGAAAGCTTAAAGCAACTCCATTTTCGGATATGAATCTGACTGTCATATATACCACCTGTCAAAAAGAAAATTTTCTGCAACCTCCTATCGCGAGTTGTATTTACGAATTCAAAGCTAAACGAACGGGCATACAGAAACAACGCGACCTATGGTTCTCTGCACTGTAACGACTAAGAAAGGGATCCGAAAGATTCTAGTGCGTTCTGGTGACCTCAAAAAGTACAATTGACCGAAGCATGCGCTCCCAATAAGACGAAAGGACAAAGGGGCTGTCCCCCATACTTTCCGCTGGGCAGGGATTTCGTTTCCTCGAACTTGTCTGCAATTCACCAACCAATAGTTTTGCTTGCAATGATATGCCCTAAACCCAACCCCCTTTTCCGTCGGTTTCCATCTGGCCTGCTGGTCCTTCTCCCTGCTTTCGACGCACTTGACACACCGAGCGGAGAGACGCCGCCGGCACTGTGCATGTTTGCGACTAGTATATTATTACAACGCCGTAAAATATGATACTATTTTTACATTTTATGCATTTACGCTTCTACTGCCGACCAGGTACACGCTTCACCTCGTTTAATTAACATGCACTGCACGACTGCTACAGGCAAGCAGGAGCTCTCTTGCAACTTCGTGTCTAGTGGGATGAGAGACGAGTACCTGCATCCCTCGCTTCAGCTGCATGCACACCAGATCAATTCTTGCTGTCCAGTAAACAAATCCAAATAGAAAACCTTCCAAACTCTACAGAACGACGGGGACGTGCAGTTTTAGAGCTGCGCCTTCTACTCTTAGCCGACGACGGAGCAGCAATCATTCATATGTGTTCTTTGCAGAGCTCGATATTACCTGAATATATGATTCAGCTTAATTAACCGGCAAAATCTACAACAGATATATGGACCGTGCACGCAGCGGTCTTCCACCAATAAGACAGAGCCACCAACGCAACGGCACTACGGGCTGCTACTTGAACGAGCGCGTTAGAACCTAATCAATGATGAGCAAAAAATTCAAATTTCCGATTATTTACAGTCGTTTGGTGCAACTCAGGGGAATGAAGGGGATCTACGCACTAACTGCCAGGGGCCCACGGAGGTGAGTCCAGCTGCGGCAGTGGTGCACGAGCAATAGTTGCAATAGAAATGACTCTTGCAAGTGCAGGAGAAAAAATGCGATTTGTTTGACTTATTAAATGGATTAAATGTAGGAGAGCATCAAACTGCTCATACACTAAGTGGCTGCCACACGCCACCACTGTCTGTGCAGCCCAAGTGGTCTCGGCGGCCGCGCAGGAGGGCTGCCGTGCGCGTGAGCGTCATCGTTATTGTGTCTCTTTGGTGTTTTCTTTCTTGTTTTTAGTTTTTATTTCGGCTGAAAGCAGCCGATTGCCGCTTCGTTTGATTGTATCGTTGCCATGCGCGCCACCGTAGCAGCACCAGGCGGGTAGGTCCTCTCCTTCGGTACAAGCAGCAGTTCCCTGTTTTCTGTCCGCTTTGCTCGCTGCAAGTTCCTCGCCTTCTGTGTTGGCGCGTTTAGCACGCAATGCAGCCGTATAGACACGCCGGATTCCCTGGAAGCCCGGCTCGCGAGGCGGCTGCATGGAAGGGCCCCAACCAAGGGACGAAGTTCAATCGTTTCAGAGACATGCCGCCTCCTTCACCTGCGCCGGAACCTCCTTTCCTCTCACCCGCCGGTATGTACGCTGACGCAGCCCCCCCGGCGCACTGGAGCCCCATGTCTTGCCGCGGGCTACCCCCCGCCCCTCCAGGACCCCCGGGCCCCCCTCACCGGGGGCCCCACGCAGGCTGGGGGCCTCCATCTGACGGCGCCAATGCGCCTTCAGGCCCACCCACGTCGTTCATGCAGCCGGAGGTTCACCCCGAGTCGCCGGGAGACTGGAGGGACGGGGCAGCACCGAGGGGCCCCCGGGGGCCCCCTTTTCAGTGCGGCCCCCCTTGTCCCCCCCAGCGGTCTTGGGATGGTCCCCAGGACCATTCAGGGGCAAGAAGAAACCACCGCACGTCGGGATCCCGAGCAGTGGGCCCCCAAAAGGGCAGAGGAGCCCCGCCGGCGCGCCCGGCTGGGCCCCCTCCTCCCCTGGCCAGAGGGGGCAGCCCGTGGCAGCCTATGAAGGATAACCCACTGTCTGGTGAGTCTCCAGGCCCCTCACAATCAAGCGGAGATATGCTTTGGCCCCCGCCTCCTCTGGCATACGACAGCGCGCAGCAGAAAAGGGGTGCAGCACCAGCAGGCAAGGACGCTGGGGGGCTCGGGGCCCCCGACCCGGTTGGAGGCCGCCGGTCCTCCTTTGGGATCCCTCCGCCTGCACTTCCAGCTGCAGAACCGCATTTCGGTCGGCTTGTCCACGACGGAGGCCCCAGGGAGACACGCCAAGGTGGCAGCTCTTCAGGGGTCCCCCCAGGGCCGCGGGCGCGGCGGCTGCGCGGGGGGGGCTTCGTGCAGGAGTGCGAGGACAGCAGCAGCAGCAACAACAACAGCAGGAACAACAGCGGTGGCTGCAACGTGCCTTTAGCTCCCCCGCCTCCACCTCCGGGCACAGAGTTAGAGAAGGGGGACGAATTCAGCGGCCCCAACGCACATTTCCTTGGGGCCCATGACAACGGGGTCCCTAGAGGGCCCCCAGGGGCCCTCCCCAGCATGGGCCGGACCCTCTGGGGCATCAGAGGATCCGCAGAAGCAGCAGCTGCTGAAGCCGCAGCAGCAGCAGTAAGCCGATGCATCGCAAGCGGCCAGATACCCCAGAAGCTGCTCTCTTTCCCTTCCCCCCCTCCTCCTTCAGAGCAGGGCCCCAGCTGTGTTATGGGACCCTTGGAGGGCCCCCCGCTGCTGCTGCAGAGGCCCCCCTTTGGGCCTCCTGAGGGCTCTTCAGGGCCTGCCACCGATGCCAGGGACTCCGGGCCGCTGTCTGGACCCCGAGGGGGGGCCCAAGGGGGCCCCCCAGGCCGTCTCCTCCATTCGGCAGATCTGAGTGGGGGTATCGCTGCAGCAGAGTTGGGATCTTCAGACAGTCGGGGGCCCCCAGGGCCCCCAGCTGGGCCCTTGGGGCCCCCCGGGAATTTGAATGGCCTCCCATTAGCAGATTCCGTCTTCAACGCGTCTCGACACACTAGTGACGTTCGCTTCACTCCGTTGAATATGCAGCAGCAGCAGCAGCAGCAGCGGCAATCGCTGCAGCAGCAGGTGCAGCCGCAGCGTCAGCCGCCTCCGCCGCAGCAGCCGCAGCAGTTCCCGTCCCCTGCAGCAGATGGGGAAGGCCCTCTCAACTCAGTCCTCTCGAACGAAGCAGCGATGCAGTTGTTGCTATTAGTTGCGCCTAAGCTGCAGCAGCAGCAACAGCAGCAAAGCCTACCACCCGGTGTGAATATTCCCGCAGTTGGCAGTATCATTCCTGCAGCTTCCCCGCAGCAGCAGCAGCAGCAGCGCGCTGTTTCTGAGGCGCTGCTTCAAGGTCTTGCAATGGGAGCGCAACTGCAACTGCAGCAGCAGCAGGCTCCAGGGGCGGGACCGCAAAATCCTGTGGCTACGCTGGGAGGCCCGCAGCAGCAGTTGGCGTTGCTGGAGTCCTTGCGTTCTGCAGCAACAGCAGCTGTTGCTGCAATCCGCAGCAATCCTGAGGCTGTCAGTGTATCGCAGCCGACAGGGACGACGCTGCTGCAGCTGCAGCAGCTGCTGCAACAGCAACAAGCTCCTGCGGCGTTACAAGCCCTTTTATCGCTGCAGCAGGCGATTCAAACTGCGGCTCCTGTAGCGCTGCAGCAGCAGCCACCGCCACCGCCGCCACAGGATCAGCAGCAGCAGCAGCAAACGCTGCAGAGACCGGCGGTCCAACAGCAGCAGCAGCAGGTACCACGGGCGCAACCTTTCCTACAGAACCAGCTGCAACAAAGTCCTGCTACCCTTCAGCAGCAGCATATAGTAGGCGCGTTACAGGGGCAGCAGGTGCAGCAGCAGCAACATCCTAGTGCGCCTGCTGCCGGCGATGCACGCGTTGCTTATGGGGGGGGAGTTCCGCCGGAGCCTCAGCAGCAACCGCCTCAGCAGCAACTGCAGCAGCAGCAACAGCAACAGCAGCAACAGCCAGAGCAGCATCAGCAGCCGCAGGCTCATGGGAGAATTAAAACCTCAGTGAGGATTCTTGTCATTCGCTGTTCAGTTGTGCCAGCATGAAAATCCTTAGCAGCAGGAGCAGCAGCATGGGTAGCAGCACGAAAAACAGGAGCAGAAGTGGCATCAACAGGGGCAGCAGGGGCAGCAGCAGGAGCGCGTACTGCCTGCGCTGTTTATGCAGACTTGCTGCACAGTTCTGTATTTCACTTTCCCTTGCTTTTTTTCGGTGCTTGTTGGTGGCATTTGTTGCTGCAGCTGCTGCTGGAGTTGTCGCGGGTGCCGGAGCGCCTGTTGGATCCGCAGGAGAACGACGCAGCGCACACCTGGTGTTATTTAGACGCTTTTAACAAGGCAAGGCAAAACAAAGGAGAAGTACACACAAAAAGGCAAAGCAGCAGAAAAACTTGCATGCATGCATGCATGCATCTATGGCATACATATTTTCCGAAAGGTGTTCATTTTGCAGGCCCCAGTATCCTGTTGATTTCGCTGCTGCTGTTTCTGGCGTGCTTGCATGCATATATATATATATGTATATATATATATATATATATATATATATATGTACTTCTGCTGCTGTGCTTGACTGCGTGCATTTCTTCTTTTGCTGCTGCAGTGTCAAGGGCCATTTTCAACGCTTACGATGCTACAGTGGCTAGAGTTGGGGTACTTCGACCCCACGCGGCCTCTACGCCGAGATGATGAGAAGGGGTTTACTCCTTTACATGACGGTTCCCGTATCAAAAGAGCGGCCAAAGACATTGTGCTCTCAGCCCGCAGTCAGAAACATGTACGCCACCACCGCCAGGCGGCATATAGAGTACTACTTATTGTTGCTGTTTCATGCTTTTGTTTTGCTGTGGGGCAGCTGGCAGCTGTTCTTATGGGGTTCCCGAAGTTTAATTTCATCTTATTTTATTCGCCTTCATCTGCTTGCACGTGGCTGTGTGCTCGTTCGCCTTAGCTTCCGGTGTACCCTGTTTGCACAGATTGGCTTGCTCCAACAAGTATTGTTTTCTCTGCTCCAATTTGCATCTAGTTGCATGCAGTTAGATGGGTTTCGTGTTTACACAGTGTGTAGAGGCAAGCCACCAGTAATAGCAACAGCAAAACTGCGGCGGGCGGAAACAGCCGCAGTGGCACGAACAAATACATGCAGCAATTGGCTGTATAAACACTGCAGAGAACGTAAAAGGCCGATGAGTATGTTTACGCGTTGAAATTGGGAGTTGTCGGCGATATGTTGTTTTCTTGCAGAAATCGTCCACGGAAAATGTGGAACATCAAAGAACCGCGTAAGTCTGTGGCCATTTGTTGCACTGCGAAAAGTGTTCAAAAGATGCAAGAAAACAAAGGTGCAAATTAAGTGTAATTGTTTTTGTCGTACACCCCATGCATATATATATATATATATATATATATATATATATATATATATATATATATATATATGTATATATATATGTATATTATGTAAATATAACCACCGTGTGGACTCAAGTTTACACACGGATTAACACAAAGCACCTGATGATGCAATTGCCGCTCTAAAGTAGTTGTCTATATTTCCCTGGAAGCTGAACTATATTTATGGATTTGAGGATTTCATGATTTCATGGACGCAGTTGTAGTACGCAGTGGCAGCGTGCCCGCTTATTCATCTTGGGAGTTTTTTTTCCTTTCTCCACTTTGCTGCAGCCTTTCGTTGCAGGCGAAGGTGCAGTCCGCCCAGGCAGCGTTAGCTCCACTTTACGTCCTGGCCAAAAAGGTGAGGTATAAGCGGTCGGCTGCATGCAACCTTTGGTGCAGCCTCGTTGCGGTCTGTGGGGTTCATCATTTTGCGCGGGTCTGCGCTTGGACGGCTATGTGTACAGGACAGGGGACGGCCTGGGACCCCGGCGAGTCGCAGCGAGAAGAAGCGGAGGATGTAACGATGTGTTCATCGGGGTGTATATACACTGGATATACGTATGCCACGGCAGTGGCTGTGTAGCCGTATGACTTTATATTTGTAGGTGTATAACGAATATGCGTTCCCACATGTTATGCGCTGCACAGGCGTCGTGGGTGCTTCGAATGTTCAATTGTGATTGTTCGCGGCTGTAGTGTTCACAGTCAGCGTATATAAATATGTTGGTCGGCGCGGAACGTGCGTCCTCTGTAGAGTTTGCGGTGAATCAAAAGTGTTCACAGAGACGAATGCAAACAAAACAAAACTGACAGAGGAAAAAAAGGAGAAAGGCGGTTCGCCTCCTCAGCCACGGCGGCGCCGATTGCAACAGTGGCGAGTACACTGCACAGAAGCTGGGAAGATCGCCATGCCAGATTTTCTATGTATATGTATCTATTGTATAGTACACATATATGTGCGCATCCACATGTATAGAAATATATCATTCTCCAGAAGTTCTGCGCGTCTGCACACTTTGTGCGTGTGCTTACATATATATGCAAACTCGATGTTGTTGTCATCTGCAGTGGCTCAACGGCTTCATTGTACTGTGAGGCCCATGACCGGCTTGCAAATGTAACTCGGGCCGGGTTTTGTTACCGCGATAACGCGAAGAAAGATGCGTGAAGGAAGTTGTTTAAGTGTTCTTTTTCTTCTTTGAGTACTTTTGCTCCAGTTCCTCCAAGAAACGATTTGATGCGGCTTCCCTCTTGCGCACGTTTCCCTAAGAAGGAAACATATATATACATTATTTATATGCATTTGTATATATGCGTGTATGTTGATTCATAGAGCAGTGTTTGGATCGAGCTTACGCATTGCTGTGTAAGTCGAGGGACACTTGCTATTTATCTATACTTTTAAATTCCTTTAATTGTTATTTCCGCTGTTGTCTATTGGCGTCGTGCTTTAGTCGCGTACAAGGATGGACAGAGCGAGGGCAGCCATGTCTTCCTCTTTCTTGCCGGCATTGCCTTTACGTGCAGCATTCCTGCACAGGCACAAGCGCTCTCTACGTGCTGCAGCTTAAGCCCATAAAAGATTAATGAAAATATGAAAACACAAGCCACGCAAGTGCAGGAAGGAGGGAGCCGCCAGAAAATGTACACCAGTGTGCGGTGCCTGCGTTTGTGCTCTCGGAGGTGGACATTGGTAGACAGCGTTCCTTAAAATGTATCTTTAAATCATTGCTTACTTCTCTTTCTCGAAGCGTTTTTTGTGCTTTTCGGCGATAGCGTCGAATTCGCGGAATGACTTTTTGTATTTTTCAGTGGATTTGATTTTCTGTTGCGAGCAAGCGCAGAGTTGAACGGAAGTGCACCGCGTGTATTGTGCTGAATGTTCGACGGGTCAGGCTATCTTGTTTCAGTTCTTGTTCGCGTTGTTCTTTTTATGTACGCGAAAATTGGGAGGCAATGCTATGACCTTGCGGGATACTCACCTTTGCTTTGAGAAGGCCGGAAAGCACTTCTTTGTACCGCTTACAATCCGAAGGGTCGCTAAGAGGAACATATTCAAAAAACTTGGACAAGTCGCCGTCGAACCTATTAATGCATTGAGCATCAGAGACAGATGGCCCTTGAGGTTTCGCCAGTATTTCTGCTGTATGGGGGACATGCAATTTGTGGGTACTGAACATGCGGTGTGTAGGCGGGGCTATATAAGCGTAAAAAGCAGAGCTGCATATCGTGCACTTCAAACACATGGTGTAAATCATCAGTGCGGTTAGCAACATCATAAAGAGCTGAAATTGCCTGTTGGTTGAGTGAACACTGCGGTGGTTGTTGTGGCAGCAAACCGTAGAATCATAGCAACCGTCTGAATCTTGGAGTGCTCCTGGGGAGGCGTTCTTTTATGAATTAGGTCATGTGAGTGCGGTTTAAGACGTTTTTGTTTACTTGTTGACAAAGTCTTCAATGTCTTCTTTCTCCTCTTCACTACCGATGTAGCGGAGTTTGAATTCATTTATTGCTTCTTCTGTCACCTCCGGGAACTTCTCCCTGTAAAAGGCATACGCCTCCTCATAGGACTTGCCTTCGAGGCTCTCCTCCCCCGTCTCTCCTGAAGTTGACAAACAAGCAAAATACAGAGGAGGCGGATGAAGTTGCGAGTCTTAGTTTTAGAATGTTGCGGATGAACCCTAGCATAAAGAACTACGAAAGGGTAACACGGGCGCTATTTGGCACATTCGAACATAAGAATTCTGCAGGTGAACTGCAGCGTGAACATCACGGGATGGGGAACAAAGGGAGCGCTTTGCACCTCCCGCCACTTTCCCTCATCTTCCCTGTGTCCGTGTCTTTTTTCTCGAATTTTCAACAACATCTAACAACTGGAGGCTGGCGAGGCTCTGCAATTGCAGAGGGGTCTAACTCGCCTGTTCTGTCGTAACGCTCTCTTTTCTTTGGGTCGTTTAGGACGGCATAGGCGGCCTGAAGTTGCTGGAAATGTTTCGTGGCTTCTTCTACCGATACGTTCTCCGCGTCTTTCTTATCCTCACCGCTGCCCGCCTTCTGCCTTTGACGGATCTTGTCTGGGTGGCACAAGAGAGCCCTGCGTCTGTAAGCAGAAGCAATCTCCTTCTGTGAGGCATCGCGAGGCACACCCAGCAAGTCGTACAGCGAATGCTCAGATCGGGCACCAGCAGCTTTTGTATTAGTTTTCGAAGAGGGTTCAGGTCCGCTCTTTTCGTCCCCTCCAGACTTTCGATCTTTGGGGTTGCTTCTAGGCGCCTTTTTTTCCTTCGCAGCTTCCTCGCCACCGTCCTCTTGTGCACGTGCTTGCCGCCGGCCAGATCGAGCCATCTTCTTGCGTTTGCTTTGTACTGGTGGGAAATACAACTAAAGACAGTTGAATACGGAAATCAGCAACAAAACACCGACCTGGTCAACCGCCGTTCCGGCGGCATACCAGTTGGAGATCGTGGAGCGGTGGTGGCGCGAGTTCGAACGGGGCGTAGTTGTTTTGTCGCCTAAAATAAACAAGATATATTTGAATTTTAACACAATAAAAGGACTAATAGCCAGGAAGACACGAGAGAAAAGAATGGCTTCCCTCAAACAGCCCGTCACATTCAACCCCACCGCTGTACACACCGGTGGCCCCCAGAAGCCAGCACTGGCGTAGTTCGGGGGACAAATCTGTGCAATGTCATTTTAAAGTAGAGTTTTTTTGTATGTTTTTTGAGGTAAGAGGGTGGAAGTGTTGCCAAGGAGGCGCTCGAAGGAGTTATTGTGCGCATTTCTCTCTGCTCATATTTGGGGGCCCTCCAAGACAATCTGCCTCGCTGACTACTGAAACACATTTCCCCACCCAAACGCATCTGAAACCGGGGAGGGCATAATGGGCCTTTTCTGAAAAGAGGGACAAACAAACAGTTTCCTCTTCTCCTAGGTGTTGTAACGGGAAGGCGGTATTGGCTTTGTCTTGCCTCATGGGTGGCGTACCCTCTGCTGTGTTTTTCCTGCAAACTTCTGACTGCCAAAGCGGGCTTCATAAGCCTGTTAGAGTGTTCTAGTGCGACTTCGGCGGCGGAGTGTTGGCACTAGCTGCTGCCCCTAGACTCTTTTGGCAGCTCTTGAAGTTCTTTTCCTTTCCTTTGATTAGCTAGCTAGCTACGGCTCATGGAATTCGGGCTTTCAGATGAGCGCCTGCGGACGGCCATTCGCCTCAGCAACGAGGCTGCCGCTAAGGACTCAGCGGGCTATCTGCCGGAGGCATTCGAGCTGTACAAACGCGCCCTAGAGAACTGGAGGGTCGTCTGCAAATGTGAGTCAACTTCTTGCCACGTGTCCCAGGGTCTAAGTCGTCTTGGTTGGGATATTATCTCAGGATGTTGGGGTGTATAGGCCTTCTGGAGCTACTTTTTGAGGGTCTGGGGACTTAGGTTGTATGCGTGGGCACTTAGTACAAATTTTAAGCTGCTGTGCCATACCAACTCCACGGCAGCTGACGATGGGGAGACAACTGCGGGAGACCCGTGGGTTTCCTTTTGAACAATTCACCTCAAACAGAACGAAGGGAATTCTCAGCTATCTAAGCTAAGCTTATGCTCGCCTCTGTGCCTTCTGGTGTGCGCACTGGGTTTGTCTGTACTGCGATGACAGTTCAACAGAACCGAACGCTGAGGGAGCGGCTGTACAGACGGATGGACGACTACATAACTCGAGCAGAGCAGCTTAAGCAGCTTCTTCGTCAGGGCTCGGCTTCGCATTTGCAGCAGCGTTTGCGTCTCTACGCAGCCTCTCCACCGAAATCTCTAAACCGCAGTTCGGCTCACGTAGCTGTCACTCCTCTTTCCCGCTCCCCAGCATCTCCATCTTTCCATGGCACGCCAGCCAACGCCTCAGCAGCAGACTGTACAATAGTCACAGCCAAGTCAGATGCAGACGCGGCGGAGGGGGAACGCATAAAGCAGAAGCTGGCGCGTAAGATCCCTTAAACTCCAGCGTCTGAGCCATGGCACATCACTAGCCCGCGGAAACAGGACTCAGGCGCAACTGTTGTGACGCGATTTTGCTGTGATTCCTTTGAAATTCAGATGCCATTCTCACGGAAAAGCCGAATTTCAGATGGTCAGACGTCGCGGGTAAGCAATCGCTACGGAAGCCCATGGGCTTTTAGACAGTGGTTGGTGCACTACGCATAAGAACCTGATGGTCGATTATCGGCATCTGTGAATGCACATTTCTCTCCATGTGTTTATTAGGGTTGGAATCAGCGAAAGAGGCCTTGCAAGAAGCCATCATCCTCCCTTCCCGTTTTCCTAGCCTGTTTACTGGTAAGCAATGCCCACAGCAGAAAGAGAAGTCGCTTGCTGTTTGTCAGACCATGAGGCATACGTACGACGTCTCTCTGAATTACAGGCGAAAGAAGACCTTGGCGCGGCATTCTTCTCTACGGAGTCAGTCTCCCTCCCATGCACAGTGCCGGCATGTAGTAGTCATACCTTGCTGTTGCTGCTGCATCTGGTGCTAGATTGCTTGCCTCCTTGCTGCTGGCTGGAGGCTGAAACAGGGCTGCAATACATTGATTTGGACTTTTTCTAGCAGTACGGCTTTCTCTGCAGCCCCCCGGAACAGGGAAGACGTTCCTTGCGAAGGCTCTTGCTGCTGAGGCGGATGCAACGATCCTCTCTGGTAGGGTCACTTGTGTGTTGAACTCGTGGAATGCTAGTGAAATCACTTAGCCGTGGCTGCTTCCTAGGGTGGTGGTGTTGTGCTCCCGCACTATCATGGGTCACGTTTGCCATAAATATCTGTCTGTCTTCTGCCCGTCCGTCGACCTGATCTTTTTCCTGCCTCTGTACTTCGGGTGTGTTGCTCGCAGTGTCGGCAGCGGATCTCGTGAGCAAGTGGCAAGGAGAGAGCGAGAAGTACGTCGTGAGGAGGGTGTTAGCTTCAGCTCTGTAGAGGGAACTCCTTTATCTAAATGGGTCTACGAAGTGTACATCGGTCGGATACCTGAAGATCTGCACAGCTGCCTTAATAAATCTTTCAATAGTGGCTTGTGTCGTGGTTGCCGTGAAATTTACCTGCTGTATTCTGCCTACATGTCGTGGAGCGGAGTGCCAGTTTTCTATTTTCTTCCTGCGCAAGCGCACGCATTGTGAAAATAAATTGCAAGGGGGCAGCAACCCTTGCCAATATCTTTGTGGGACTGTAGACTTAGAAGGCCTCACATCTTTTTCTGTTCATTTATTTTGACTGTCATCACCAGTGTACCAGTTTGTCTCTTCTTTGGAGTCTCCCCATGTGGGCTTTCTCGAGTTGTAATGACAACCTGATGGCTGTGTTTTTTGTTGAAATGTTTGACTCTATGCAGATTGGTTCGGTCGCTGTTCGAGCTGGCGCGGGAGCGGCGGCCTTCCATAATATTTATAGACGAGATAGACTCCATGTGCGGAGGTTCGTTCCACGACCCATGCCTCTACCTCTGCTCTTCTGCACGCCCACTAGTGGCACCAAAAAGCTACCACATGATAAAAGACGCGATTGCAGAATTGCATATTCTGTATACATAGCTACTTAATACGCCTCTAGGTAGACGCAGATACACATCTTCACACTCGTGCATGCGAGACATAGATTGGAATAGGAAATGCGTTGTCTTGTTTGGACTTCCAGCCCGCTCGGAAAGTGACAGCGAGTCCTCCCGACGCATGAAGACAGAGTTTCTTATTCAGATGCAAGGCATCAACTTCGATTTGAGCGAAGTTCTTGTCCTGGGAGCAACGGTAGGTCGGGCACGTTTGCACCAAACCCTGCATTTCCAGCTAAAATTCAGGGTTTAGTGTTTAGAATTCTTGCTGCTGCTGCTGAGTCTGTGCAGAACACGCCGTGGGCCCTGGACGCTGCGATTCGGCGACGGTAGGCAGCATCTGTGGTTTGCCAACGGACCGTTCAACAGCCTCAGCAGATTCTTGGGCACTTAGCAGCATTTAAGGTCCAGGGCTTCGAATTGACCAGTTTAACTTCACTCTTTGCTGGGGTGGTCCGGTGACAAGGATTTACGGGCGATCCTTGGCGTTTACTGCGGGCCTCTGCAGGTTTGAGAGGCGCATTTTCATCCCGCTGCCCAAAGTTCAGGCCAGAGAGCAACTGTTAAGAGCTGGCCTGGGCGGCACCCCCCACCACCTCAAGGACGCCGACTTCCGCCATCTCGCGAGAGAACTCGAGGGGTCTGTTGCGCTCTTTCAATGGCTTCTTATAAATTGAACATTCAGGATACACTTTTAATGAAGTTGTGACAGCGAAGTTGCCAACTGGGGAATTAAGGCACCCGGGGTAAACCCTTTCCTTTCAGCGGAAGGAAGGGTTTACCCTGGACGCGTTCATGTTGGGAAACTGTGGTGAACAAGGGCGTGCACTCATTGTTCTGTTGGACATCTATTCTTTATGCCTTCAGGTTTAGTGGCTCTGATATTTCAGTTCTTGTTCGGGACGCGTTGTTCGAGCCCATAAGGAGGTGTCGCACGGCTACAGCTTTCAAACAAGTGATGGTTGATGGCCGCGCTTTCTACGTCCCTTGTCATCCCGGTGAGATGCAAGGCATAACGATCAGTTGTCTTCACAGAAATAGCAGGATCTGCCCTTACAACCACTAGGGTCCGTTCTTGCTTATTTTGTCTAATGTGGTGAAGAAGTTTTACTTAGCTGCTGCTGCAGATGACTCCGACCCGACTACTCGCAAAATGACTTTGATGTCCATCCCAGCCGACAGACTGCTGCCACCGGAAGTGACGATGGTGGGTGCCGAGAGCCGCACGTGCTACTCTATCTGCTTTTGACATGTGTGGATTTGAGTGCAGCAGTAATAGTTTCTGTGTGTCCAGGTAGGCTTCCTTTTAGGCATGACTAGTGGAAATTTTTAATATCAAGTCTTATGAGCTGAACTGCTTTTCGAATTGCCGCAGGAAGATTTTCATTCTGCTATGCGACACACCCGCCCTTCCGTCAGCCCGGAGGTAAGGCTCTAAGGGCAGCTCTGTCTAATATCCTTTAGCTTTCGACCAGCACACGGTGCGTTGGTTCGTTTATTATGGCCAACAGCCTATATGTGTTGCTTGCTCGTTTAGATCGAGTTAGCCTACTCGTTGATTTTGCTTTCAGGACTTGCGGATGCATGTCAACTGGACAGAGCAGTTCGGTCTGGAGGGCAGCTGACGGCTCTCAAGGCTGCCCCTCTCTGCGTTTATCACGCGGAATACAGTTTTGAACACATTTTTGGCTTTAAATGCAGCAGATCCTGTCCAGTTTCGGCTGTGCAGATGACATATTTGGCAGCTATTGGTCTGTTGCCATTCCTTGAGTGCCTGGCTATCCTCAGCATTTCGACACTTTTTTTAAGTATAGCATTTAAAGCATCCCCGACAGCTCTTTAGTGTATTGTAGCTAAGTGGGAGGCTGAACTGATTAGTGTGTAGGCACCAGCTCTACGCTCGCTGTGGTAAATAATGCTACGGTGAGCTCGCATCGGATTTAGATGGCGATTCACCAGAAGCCCACGAACAGCAGCGGTAACATAGAAGCTCCTGTGACAAGGTGTAGCATGGCCTCTCCAACGTTGGTGCATGCACGTGTAGCATGGTCTTTCCAACGTTGGTGCATGCACGTGCACTTCATCGTAGGCTGTCTACTGGCGGCAAAGTACGTGCTTAACAACTGTCTACGGTGCTGGTGCATGTAGCAAAACGGGGCCTTGTTGTGTGCTCATCTTGCCGTGATGCACTAATTGCACCACAGTGCGTTGCAACTCATGGTTTGCCGGGTACTCTCCCACATGGACGACGCGCTTGTCCAGCTGGCGCACGCAGGAGCGAGTACAGCAATTGCAGCGTGTTCTGGAAGAGCTGCGTGAGAACCATATGTTCATGAGAGAAGAGGTGTGCTTGTTATCTCTACAAAGAAGTGGCTTCTTAAGGTCCCATGACAATGGGGCGGGAGTCGAACCAGAACCGGAAGATAGAAACCAGCTGGAGGTATCCACTATCCCAGTACGACTGCACACAAGTTCAGAAGTTCGTCGATCATCGCACTACCGCAGATTTACCGTTGGATTTGCTTGCATTGGCTGCCCTCTTACATATGTACTTGAGAAAGATAACGAACTTATTTTGACGGACAGCGAGGGGGCCACAAGTAGCCTCATCTGCATGGTCTGCGTGAGGTTGGTACGAGCATCTCTAGGGGCCAAATAGGCGCTTGATAATTGTTTATAGTACTACTGCATGTCGCAAATGGAGCTTGGTTGTGATGGCATCTGGCCTGACTTGCAGCACTAGTTGCAGCAGGGTGCCCTGTAGTTCTTCTCAGGCTGCTTCATCTCGTATCAGCCATTGGGTCGCTGTTCATAGGTTGCCTGGAGACTGAAGAGGTGAGGTCAGCTGATTTTGCGTGGCTTCATGTATTTTTGAATTCTGACTCATGACAGTCCCTGGATATGATCGGGGTGTCGTAACGGGTTCAATCTGAAGAGCTACCCTGTTGCGTTCAAAGTTGGCTTGCGTGGGGAGCCTGCATATTTGGACTTCAAACAAGCATTGAAGCTTTAAGTGCTGCTCTAGTAGGGCACGAGCTCAAACACACAATCGCAGCACTACAGATCCAGTCGGCACGCAGTTTTGCAGTGGGGGTTGCATTTCTTAGGCGGAAACAGTTGGTACCCTGCAAATATATATATATATATATATNATATATATATATATATATATGCATATATATATCATATATATATCCTTGATAATACATTCGAAATTCTTCGGTCGAACTACAGTACCCCGATAACCTTGTAGTACAGTGTGGATACTGCGTGCAGCGACCTCGAAGATGTTGGAGTTGGCTGCGGGTCCAGTTGACCTGCCGGGATCTCCGCAGCCAATTAAACATGTTTTTATAAACAACACTACGCAATATTGGCCCGAATGTATTACAGACGATTCAGGCTTCTGCAGAACAATCGGAAGACGCGGCACCACGAGAACGCCTAGCAAGTTGCTCGGTCGCTCAATCGTAACAGGCGTGAAACGCGCTGCGACAGATCTCTCAATTACACCATTAAATCATACATGCGATTCAATGTAGAAAACAAACACGGCTTACGAATTTATCCCGGGCGTGTTGTGTTGGCAGTGTGGGGCCGACATATCGATTACCCGCCGCCTTGACGTCGTCTCTTGACCCTCCTTCAGAGGCTGCTGGTCTTAAGCCAGCCATATATTTCCTGCGGACTTCATGGACAGCCTATTCCAATGGTACTTCGACCCGTTTCATCTCTGGGCAGTCGGCCCATACGACGGAGTCCCTAACAGGCCAGAGACTTGCGAGTGGGCCAGGAGGCGCTTTTAGTCTCATCGCATTGCTCTTTACTTTATGAAGAGTTGTTAACTTTGCATATTATTCCTGTCTGGATGTAAGCGCACCTCGCGAACCATGAGGAAGATTGCAGTGGCTCTTGTGAGTGGAGGGAAAGACAGCGTCTATGCTATTGAATGCGCCCGGCGAGTCGGGTTCAGCATCCGTGCTGTGGCTACACTACTGCCGCGGGATAATGCAGTGGAAACCGACAGCTACATGTATCAGTCTGTGGGAACAAGTTTGGGTGCGGCGATTGCCGAGTGCTTGGGTGTTCCGCACTACAGTGCCCACGTTAAAGGGCGACCTGTAAACACAGAAACACTGGAATGCACCTTCCAGGACGACGACGAGCTTTATGACCTTCAGACTTTGTTGGAGCGCGTGAAGGTAAGAGTGAATTTTGCGGGCCCTCCAGTTGCCTTCGACCCAACATCTGAACCTTTGCTTGTCCCGCACGGCGAGGCATAACTAAGCAACAGGCAGTTGCATGATCGGTCTTGTGTGCATGTATGGTTGGATTTATTCAGAAGGCCAACCCTGATGTTGACGCTGTGACATGCGGCGCCATATTGTCGGAGTATCAGCGCCGGCGCCTGGAATCCATGTGAGTTAAGGGCTAGCACAAAGGAATAATTACCGCAGCTTTTAGTCTGCATGGTCTAAAAGTGCCGAGCACAAAGCATGAAAATATCAAAATCGTCGTTTTTTCACCCAGTTTACGCTCATTTCTGCGTTGCAGCTGTGGATATGTCCGCCTACTGCCCGTCTGCTTGATGTGGAACCGAGAACAGAAGGGCCTGCTAAAAAGTATGATAGACTGGGGCCTGCATGCTGTAGTCGTCAAAACTGCATCAATGGGCCTTTCAAAGAAGCATCTGGGCCATTCAGTTTCTGACTTGTTCCCTCATTTCCTCGAGCTGAATCGGCAGTACGATTTCCACGTTTGTGGAGAAGGTACATCTTACCCTTCACTCCAGTCTTCCACTTTGAAATGCGCATAGACTATTTTCAAGAACTAGGGCTCAGCATTAAAAGTATCGACAACGATGCCTTTTGTTCTTGCTGACCGCCGCAGTCCCCAGATGTATTCATGGGTCCTTATGCTGTGCGAGCTTGTGTATGGAGTTGCACGTTGCATTGAAGGTCTTTTGATTTCTTCTATGTGTGGGCGGCGTTGCAGGAGGGGAGTACGAAACAGTGACGTTGGACTGCCCCCTGTTCACAAGGGGTTCGATTATTGTTCCTGATTGGGAGCAGATATGCCACAGCGACGACGCTATGGCACCCGTGTGGCTGCAGTCTCCACTACAGTGGAAGATAGCGCCTAAGGACCCCGCGAACTCGTGGCCTCGAGTACAATCCGATGCAAACGTGCGCGATCTTGAGTTGCTTCGAATACAACCCTACCAGGACCTGATTGATACTGCTGTCAACGATTGGGGTGTAGATGTACATGACGGAGAATCTGCTGCTGCCCCTTCCTTTGATGGAGAGGGCCCCACTCCTGGGATTGATCCGACGAGCGCATGTGCTTGGGATGAATGCGGCAACAGGACTTGTCATGCTCGAACATTCTCTTCAGGAAGCATCCTTACTGGAGATATATGCGTTACTTGCAGTAAGGAAGGGGGGGGCACAGAAGGCGACGTATCACCTCCCCCCAGCATATCCTGGATACAAATCGTTAGAGAGTCTATGAGGACGTGGCTAGACGAGCAACTGAGTAAGACAGTGAATGGCGGGATGCGTGCCCGTATTGTTGAGGCAGTATGCCAGGTCTGCTGCCCAGACTTCATCGGCATCCCTCACGACGTTTTCGAGGCATCAGGCAGTGGGCCCGTTGCCCTCACTGTCTTCGTTACCCCGTTGCCGCGGTGGGTTCAGCTGCGGCTCAGGATCGTACTAGGCCGCCCGGAAGGCTTCGCCATTCCTCCTGTCTTTTCCTTAAAGTCACCCACAGACGATTCTCTGCTGCACGTGCACAGTGTGAACTTGTGGGTCCCTTCATGCTTTGCGCTGGGCACTTATGGCATGGATCGGCTAGCCTCGTGCTGCTCGTGTCAAGGTGTACGTTGTGAGTTGGTGTCTGAGAGTTCCCTCAGCGCGGCCTATTTGTTTCTTCGCGGCTGCGATGGCCGATTACCTTTCACCTGCGATTTCCCTGATGAAAAATGCGGTACACATCCGTTTTTCCGGAGGCGTGGACTTCAAGAATATCGAGCGCTCGTGCCAGCGCTGTACACCGCCCTGCAGACTGCCAACGCATTCGTCAGCATGCAGTACACGCGTCACCTGTGCTACACTGGCGGAGCAAATAGGGGCTTTCCCCATAACGACGGTGAACATTTTGCGGATGGAACCGAACTGGGTGGACTCGATTCAACAGAGCCGCAAGACATAAACTCAGCAACATTACGTGTTCCGCAGTTGAAAACTCCGCCATTTGTGGCTTCTTGCTTTGTTGTCTTCGTCACTCTCACAGAAGGAAAGGCGGAGACCAAGCCGAAGTCCGACAAGAATCTCGGGGTTGTAGAGCGGCTTGTGCGTTCTCTCATTGCTCGTTCCAGCTCCCGCAGTGATCATTCGTTTTCGGGCGATGATACAGGCAATCAAAGCGTCGTCATCGTGGCGGAGGCGCCCAATCTTCCTGGAAAAGCAAGGGTATTGATTCTTCCCATGTGGGACATATCACCCAGGCTTGGCGATAGGGCCTGTTCGCAAGTGTGCCGCGCTAGTCACCAGCGACAGGATGGAGAAAAGTATACAGCGACCGTCACAGTCGTAGAGCGTTTCCTAGAGGTCCGGAAAGATACAGAATCCACTGGTCGGGGTAGTGGCACAGGCATTCGCTCGGTGGTGGCGTGCCTTTCATTCCAACGAAGACACGGCTACGCTGGTTGCCAGAGTTTGGAAGAGCTAGTGGAGGAGCTGTGCAGCACACTGACACATTGGCTGAAAGCACATTCTGTACAAGAGGGCGTCGCTTCTTTGTATCTTGGAAATACTGAAGAAGCTGTAACTACGCGGGGACGCGAACGGGTAATTGAAGTATGTGTATTTTATTGCCCTTCTTATCTGTGCTCGCTCCAGATGGATTCGGAATCGTTCGAGGCAAAATGCCTGCAGCGCATCGGAGCCGGCTGCTGTGCGAGTGCGGCCGCATCCTGTGAATTCTCGCCTATCATTACATTTTTCCCCGTTTTGAACCTTTCGGGGGGGCTTTTCCAGATCGTTGCTCATACGTTATCTGCATACGCCTAATACAACTGTCGAATGCTTGCCAGAACGCCTCACTCTAAGCCAGAGACCAAAACGCTTCGGTGGCTCACTGCGGTGCCCCGTTGTGTCCATCAAGTACACGAGAGGAAACTTCTCTCATACAAAACTATTTTGTTTCCTTAATCAATGGAATCCCCGCATTGTTTGGCGGGTCCACTACTCGCTAGTAGCGACAAATTCGCCATCCAGCAAGCATTGAATCTACATTTGTTGCCAAGGCTGGGGTGAACCAAGGGGCATGGCGGGCCAGACCCTCAGTATGTCGTCTGCAATTCTAAAAAGCAATTCGCGGAGGATTTCCTCGAGCTCTTCATCCACGTCGTTGTCAGCAATATGGTTTATTAGCCTCCACACCTCCAGTGTCCCATGATCTGAGAAACGAACCGAGCAGTGAGCAGTGAGCGGGGGGGTTCTGTGTTCGATTGGGGTACTGTAGTCCAGTAGTCCTGGGCCAGCCATATTTTACCATGCGAATGCCATACCTTTTGATATGTGGTATCCCAGCTTTTGCAGGACCAGCTGGATGCCAGTGTCGAAGAGCTCACGGACCATAGGAACGTAGACCTGGAAACAAGATAAATCCCTTGGTTGAGACAATAAGTTGTAGGGGAAGCAGCAGCGTAAGCACGGCATCTCTATAGAGCAGCAGACATATATTTCGCGATATGAAGAGATTGCGAGCACTTGAACAGCACTGGTTCTCACCTTTAAGAGGACGTCGAATAGACGGTGCAAGTACTTGATGAGGTCGTGAGGATTCGCCACTGCTATGTCCATAACAGGCCGTCCTTTCTCTTGTTTGAGAAGCTCTCGCGGCACAAGGAAGTCACCTGTGCAACGTGCGTACATCCAGACCAAAAACATATGGAGGCATTTTGTACGGCTCCTGCCAAGGTAGATAGAGAGAGCATGAAAAGCAAGTTTGAGTTTTGCACGCCAGACATCACAGTAAACTGACTACCCAAGCTGACCGTTCTCTGCAGGCAGAAGGCCGTTCATGAGCTCGATAAAGAGGAGATACAAGTAAGAACCGAGACCCTTCACAGGTGCCATCAACACCTTGTATAGGCCAGAAGGGGCGCTACAGGGACAGAGCACAGCATACTTGACGCTTGTGAAAATTATGACAACTTGCAATATTTTCAGCGAAGGAATCCCTTTGGGCACAGTATACTTTCGCTTTCATGCTAGTGCAGTAGGTATGGCTCCGAACGAGACGACCGAAGCTCACCTAGTGGCAAACTTGATTTGAGACCATATTCTGTGCAAGGTGCTGGGATCAAACACAGAAGAGCGAACAGTGTCTAGAGAGCGTTTTATAAATACGAGGAGCGGAAGCTGCTTCCACCAATCCCGACTGATTGGCTCTCCGGCCTCCATTTTACCGAGCATCTGCTCTAGAACAGCCGTCTGCATCTTCAAACTGTCAACCCACGGCTGCACTCCAGACACCCAAACTGAGTTTTGCACCTGAGAACGTGGAAAGCAGTTAGCATTATGGAACGGGTTGTAAAGAAAGTTCCACTCCAGTTGCAGGTACGCCGAGGAAAAATGCTTGGCCTACATCAAGTTGTATCTATTTCGTATGAATCCACACTAGGCTTCATCGGGACGAGAATTTAGACGCCCAACTCTCACGCTAGAGAGGAACGCTAAGTTCTATGTCTTACAAGCTTGATGTTTGGTGCTGCGTCGGGGCCAATAAAGCGACTAAAAGCAGTCCGAAGGCTTGTATTCAATGCTCCAGCCCTTAGTTGGGTCCAGAAGAGAAGGGGGACGTTTACAAGGTGATCAGGAATTAGAGTGCCTGTAATTTTGCTCAGAAAGTGGAAGCCGGCAGTGCTGACAGCACCCGCCCCAATGGCGAGGAATCGAGTGTAAATGCGTTTGAGAGACCCCATGTCCTTCATGGGTTTCACAGCACCAGGAAGTTTGGGGGTCACTGCGGCCTTAAGCAATTCGCTCTCTTCAGCTGAACAGCAACCCAAGCACGAAAAGGCAAACACTCTCCACGTCCTATATTCCAGGTTTCCAGGCCTCCGACTATCCCCTAAAGTGCTGTTGTAAGAATGTCTTATATGTTTTCGCTTGCCTGCTGGAGTCACCGACGTATCTATTTTCTCAAGAGAGGCAGAAAGGGCGTCAAATGCGAAGAGGAATCTCTGTTTCTTTTTTCGGGGTCTCGAAATAACTTGCGCAGCTTTTTTGACCAGGCCTAAAGCCCGATCTATGAGTGGGGTCAGCAAAGTCCCCAGAGTGTTCTCCAGTTTGCCAATGATATCCAGCACGCCCTCCAGGTCAATCACTTCCGCGGAAATGAGCTGATCTACGTATTTCTGGGAAAGCTGAGAATATTGGTGACGAAGGCGTTCTTCTGTGTTTGTGACACAACATTGCGCAAGACAGCATTAATCGTTTGAACTAAAACTAATCTGGCAAGCAGCAAACGACAAACGGATTATCTTTTGTTCACTAAGATAAATGGATCTGCAGAAATAAAGCTCACCAACTTCTCTAACTTCACTCCCGTCTACTTCGAGTAGTGAAAGCGCGTCCAGAAGCACTTCCCCTCTCGGAACCCTGCCTGGTTTTTGGATTTGGTATAGGCGGGACATTTGATCAGCCAAAAATTCCGACAGCTTCCCAAAGACTCTCTCTTTATCTGAACTCGGCAAGGGGAAATAAGAGGGACGCTCGTATGATTGGCACCGAGCCTTGTAAAGGCCTGAATTGTGCAAAGCGATATATGAGAGGCATTTTGTTTCTTACCGCTGTCACTAGTGAATGACAGATCACTAACGTCCACAAGCTCTTGAAGGATCACTGGTTGCAACGTGCTTTTGATCCTTCCCGCAGTGACTTTGTTCCCCAATTCTTTTTTCATCAAGGATCCAATGACTTCAGTAAGCTTTAACATAATCTTGTCTGTCCAAGTGGCATTCAGACCGCTTTGAGGAAGAATCGAATCCCTGGACTGGAGGCTTTTCCGATACCCATCCACTGAAGACACAAGCCGGTCGCATTTCCACCTTACTTGACAGAAGAACAAATATCCACGTTGTTTTGATACAGGGTGACGCTGTGTAAAGGACTAACAGGTAGTTTGTTGCGTCGAGAAATCTTCCAGCCGGCGGGCAACTGTTGTGGTGTAGTCCTCCCACATTTTCAGGGCCTTTTCTGAAGATCAAATACACCAGATGCAACAGCTAGCAATACTGCGTCATGCATGTCCTTTTTATGGATACCGGTTTTACAGCAGGGCAGTTGCGTACCTTTTGGGCTCGAAGAAATTAAAGTGGTGAGAGCTCCTGAAAGCACAATCCGCACTGGCCAACACTGAGTAGTTAACATTTCACTTTTTCACTGTTTCCCGCCACGTCACAAGGAGGAGCATATACAGTTCGTGATAAGCCAACGGTGACAGGCCAACGCATTTGCTAAGTTTCCATCGCACGAGATTCCTTGCTACGCACTTCTTCGAATAACACTGTCTCCAACGAAGTTAAGGAACTGATCTACAGTGGCTTGAGCTTCCTTAGATATTGCGCTTTGGAAGATCTTTTGGTCCACTGCTTCAATGATGGTCGGTAGCAACAATGAAGCGCCAGACGCAGGAACGTAATCGTTTATGGCCTTCTGTCCTAGCTCCCTTAAAGTGTCAATATTGATGGAATTGACTGCAGAGCAAAAGCGAACAAAACATAGGTGAAGAAGGGTACTCATCTTCTGCTGAAGGGTTGCCGCCATCACCAGCCAGCGAATAATTATTAGGCAGGTGCTAAGTACCAGTGCGTTAATGATCCTGAGAGCTTACTTGCTGCTGCGAGATCTGGGCGTTGTGCTAGGGTATTGATCTCTGCAAAGAAACCTGCGAGCCCTTGCTGGTGTATCTTGTGAAGCATGCGCCAGAGACTTCGGCCCCTCCACATTGCTTCCAGCGCTGCCAGCGTCGCACTTCCCCAGGCGAACAGCATCTCCTTGTAGATGTCTGCAGTGAATTAGAGGCGCACGGCCCTGCGTTGTCTCTGACGTCTGCATTGCGCATGTGAGTGGATAGCCTGCGGTGGTGATGGGGAAAATGAACACTGAAGCGACATCTTACCTGTAGAAGCACTCGACTTAATCTTGGCCTGGAGATCTGCTTGCAAATCCGCTGCAAGCTGTTGGACGCTCTTCACTGCCTCGTAGAACGATTCTTTGTTTGTCCGACGATCAAACGTGGTCTGTAGCGAGTCCTTTTCTGACGCCGAAATCCTGTTGTAACTCTCGAGAAGTGCTAACACCTTCCTGAATTGGATTCGACTTATTTGGGAGCCCTCAGTCCTGTGGAATTCTCCCAAAACAAGGATCAAACTCATGTAAAGCTCCTTCTGCGGGTACGCTCTTCCGATTTGCTCTGAAGGGAACAGCCACCAAGTCACAATTTCACTTTATGCTGAGAGCTTCGTTGCTGGACTCCATCGTTATTTGGATCTACAACGCTTTTCCATGCTTCTACGTTATGGCGATGATATGACGATTGTTTTCTGTTTTATCGGTTCTTATTATTGGCATCGAACCTGGAGTCGTTCCAAGGGCTTCATCATGAAGAGGGGCTGGAGTATGCATCACAGACACAACACACTGCAGGCATCCTTACAACCGAAGCCAATATCGATAATGGGCTAGAAAATACTTAACGGCTTAATGTGTTTCGTGAATTGTTCTCGATTACCCCAAAGTGGCATGAGATCTTCAGTCGTCCATTCCATTTCGCCCGTGACGAAAGCTTTAATAGCGAACGTGTTGCCGCAGGTTCCCATATACTCGTACACCTCAACGCTGGATGACTTTCGAACAAGCTCACCTTGTTGGAAGCCTGCGTGTGCATGCGCAGAATGACTTGCCTACATAGAAGCGGCGCTTACCATCACACCCCTGATACCTGGTCCTGACTGCTTCCAAAACTTGACGCTAAAGGGGAAGTAGCTAATAAGTGTTTCTGGCCGTTGGTGACCCGTTCAGGTGTGCCCATCGTCAAATCGAATGCTGCGTACCGCTCAGCCTGAATAAAGGTTTACGGGAGAGAACCGTTTCGCCAGAGTCCTTCCGGCGTAGACTTGACACGCAGCCAACCGATCCAATTAGGGCTATATCGAGCAAATCGTAAGTTAAGAAGCCTTCAGAAACCACGACTGAATCGCCTATAGTGATTTTCTCAGCTGAGGCAGCGAAAAGCAAGGGCAGTCAGGATGGATATTCGTGGGCGCAACTCCATGTAACTGTGTGTGCAAATAAGCTGTGACGATTCACACAAGAAAAGCCATCCATATATATATATATATATATATATATATATATATATATATATATATATATATATATATATATATATATACATTTGCATAAGCAAGCCGAAGGGCCTTCATGTCTTCATTCGCACGAGATATAAAATGAACAATTACTCCGAGCTGTTGGCTAAACAAGTTTTCAATAGCGTACCAGAAAATATTGGTTCCGTCGTAGCTTCAGGAGGCTGTGGTTCCCCAAGGGTCACAGCAGGCCTCACGAATTTTATGCCCTGTTCAATTTTTTCAACAACTACCAGTGTATAGCCGCGCCAAGCTTTGTCGCCAACTTGTACCGGCGTGTCTGCACAAAAGTTGGGAGGGAGCCAATGGTTTTGCAAAGTGACCTTACACCAGTAGTAAAAGCTCTGGCACGGGGACTCCCTGCGTGTGGCTCCAAATGCTCACTGTGGGATAGTGCCTTCATAACCTCCCGGATGAAGTAGTTCCGTTGACTTTGGCATTCTGCAGTGCTACCCATTTGGCTGAGGGCGCCGTCTACGTGCCGTGTTACGACATTACGCCATTTCGTAGGTGACCCTGGGTCAAGCTCAGGCAATGACTTTTTCCACACATCTCGAAGCACCGCTACACTCGTTGAAGAACCCGGGCGACACTCTGGAGAAACAAAGCGCCCCAACGCAGTACAGCAAATTTCAACAAAAAAGGGGGTCGTATGCATCGACTGTCGTCCTAAGATAACTCGGCCCGCTCTGGAGTCAACTCGCCTGTTGGCTCGTCGAATCTGTAAATTTCTTCGGAGACTGCGTCTTCCACATAGAGAATCCCTTCAGAGACTCTTACTGAAACAAGAGACCGACTACCTCTTTTCTGCGCTCCGGATCTCTCTACACGCTCAGAAATGCTGCCGAACAAGGCGTCTCCGCTCGGCGTCACTAGCACTGAGTAAGGGGTTTGGCCGGATTGGAACCGAAGGAAGCCCACAGGCACTGAAAGCAGTTTTAACAGCGGACAGGTACTGATTAACGTTCAGAAGAAATGGTAGATGCACTTATTCGTGCCAATATGCAAATATTTTATACTGTATAGCAGCCGATACAATTCAATACAATACTTACCAGCGTGAGTATCAAATCCTTCCACCGGCGGAGGCAGGAAAGATGCCACTTCGGCGAAGTTTGCGTCTTCCAAAAACAGTTGCACTACCTGTACCAAGCATCACAGCAATAACATTGCATCAAGTCCTGGTGTGCAATCAACAATATTGGGCCGTATACCGGGCAGTCGAGCAATACCAAGTCTCGGTAAGCTATACCTGCTGAATTGTTTTTTCTCCGCTTCCCAGTCCCAGCTTCTTCAGTCCCCAGCGGAGGTTCTTGAGTGCATCACACTGCAGTTCATACGTGGCTGCAGGGTCACTTTGCACCAAAACCGTTTGGCGCAGAAGCAAACCAAGGAGAGGCCATGCAGTCTCCTGAGATTCAACACAAGAATTTTTCGAAAATGCAGGTAACCGGCAGGATATTGCTGAATTCATCAAGCGGCTGTTTTGGGGATCAACATCAACGCACCTTTAAGCTTTCCTCGGCCTTCCCGTCTTCCAGGACAAACTGAATAACCGAGTTAGAAAAAGAAGTCCCTCTAGCTGATATTTGAATGAGGAAGAGCCCTGTGAAAAGTAAGATGGTCCTCTCCTGCCTGAAACCACTTTGGTCCTGTATGTTGCTATCTGCAGCAAGCGGAGCAGCAGGTAGAGAGACAGCACAGAATAATCGGAGAAAGACGCCAACGTATGCTGAGCAGCAGGTAGAGCGGCAGCACAGAATAATTTGAGAAAGACGCCAACATATGCTGGCCCTGCTCATGCAGTCATAAACATCAAGATATGCAGGGAAGGTCCGAATATTGACTTGCCGTTGTAGCCAAAAGGGAGATATCCCTGAATTAGTTGAACATGGACTCCAGGAACAACTTCCTTTGCATGACGAGTGGGTTGTGGGGGCCTGAATGGGCATTGCTGTTGCATCCTCATATCAAGGAACTCTTCTTTCTGTCTGTGCTTGAACGTCCCTTGCCAAACAGAAAATGGACGGTAAAGCGCAGCGAACAAGTCATCGACTTCTTCATCAACATCTCTAAACTCAGCTGCCTGATGGCGGTACTCTTCCGAACTAGTTGAAACAAAGCGTGGGGAAAGCCGTGAATATAGCGTCGCAGTAAATCTCTTTCGAATTTCCTGGATCACGTCATCTACCTGAACAAGGCAGTGTACATGAGTACCCCAACGCGCAACTGATCTCTAAAAACGGAAGTGTGCGTTGTTTACAGCACCCCTGAGGGCACCCTGCTGTGAACTGCGGAAACGGCTGTGCCTGCCTAGTGTTTTCTTCACACCTACAGGCTCACCTGCACGTGTGCGGCGTCAATAAGCGACTTCATGCGCATGAAAGCATTTGCGGCGATATCCCTTCGCATGCATTCCTCGGAATCTGGTGGAACAGTGGGATTTAGGAGGTCGGCCGCGTCAGGTAGTTCATACGTGCACGGTACAGGGACATGATTGTCTTTAAGAAAACGGAGTAGCTCCTCCATGTTTTTAACACGCTGCTTCCCAGTAGTGACTGCTCGCCGTCTAATCAGGAGAGTAATGTCACTCATTATTGTGGCTAAGATTATGATGGCGGACATCTTTGAGCAGGGGACCGTAGCTTCTTGCTCATACGGAAGACGCAGGAGGGTGAAGAGTTTTCGGAAGCTTTTTTGAAATGTACAGATGCGACTTGTCCAGTATTCCCCAAGAGGAGTGGTTGAAAGCGCTTTGGCGAGGATAAACTGCTCATGTTGGGGGGTCAAGGGCGGTTGTCCTGCTTCAGAAAAGCGTCTCACCATGGACTTGAGTTCGTTTGCCTTCAGCCACCAGGCCGCGCAAAGGGGGCCACACGTCCTGTTCCTGAAGTGCTGCTTAACTCCAGAAATTGCGGACTCCTCTCTTTCTTTGCGAAGCAGGTAAGCTGCGTACGCCGTCTTTGAGACAATCTGTTCCGTTTGTTGGAAAAACGACAACTGCGCAGAATTTGTTGGAGCAAGTTCGCTTCCGCTCGATGCACCCTAAAACGAAAATCACATGCAACTAAGCTTTTATATGAATTTCTATTTAAATGCAGCGTGAGGTACACAATACTCAGGACCCCGAATCTTCGTAGGGAGCAACCCCTTCATGTGGAACTTTTGACTCGAACGTGTTGCGCTGGTTTCAAAGCAAAACTTACAGGAAAGAACGCTTCGAAGTTCTCCAAAGATGCAAAGCACCTGTTTGGGACGGAAGCGTTTGTCTCGCGGCTTCGCCTGAATAGTGCCAATACCCTAGGGAGACGCGTTGGGGAGCTTGGCGTCAAGAACTTCCGATCAAGCGATAGGCTTGCTTCTTCTGGAAGCTCCCAGCAGGAGTGTGCAAGCTCATTGATTGTGCGCTGTGTCCAAAACTTTTCCTCCAGCGACCTTACGAACAGTTGGCTTGAGATAATACTGAGGTATTCGGCGTGCAGGCCGTTGAGGAACAACCATAACCAAGGACCTGTCCAGGCGGATGTCGCCAGTTCTGAACGGCAGCGCACCAAAGGATACTGGGAGAGAGTTCCTGCTTCGCCGTTACTTCACAAGGTAAGCAGGTGCAGTCTAGTTCCAAAATGTGTAATACTAGCATAGCACATACAGCAGCCAGTATGCCCACAGCTGCTGCCTCGCCTACCTGGAATGGCATAGTGCACCATAATTGGCAAGTCCCGGTCGTCTCTGATGATGCAGGCAATGCCTGTGTAGCAGTCCTGTACAATGCTCTGCTCGACTTCAAACTCCGTCAGGTAATTGATCTTCAGCTCAATAACAGTATTATAAGCCGCTTTGGAGTCAGATAAGACCCAGGTACCCTTTGAGAGCTTGCTGCTTTGATAGGCAAATTGGCCAATCGTTATTGGTGTTGTTTCCTCCGAATGCAAGTCAAATTGATAGCCATGCCTGTCTCTGACTTTGCAAACTCCAGTAGTCGCATCCTTTTCTATAAGCTTGTATTGCCGGCGTAGTACGTACTGGTGTGAAATTTGGTCTCCGTCCTCGAATCCTGTAGCAACCGCAATACTTGCGGAAGCGAATTTCTTTTTACCAGCGAACGTTCGCGATGCAATATATAACCCTACGTTTTGCTGCATTCTTGCCGAGGGAAATTTTTTGCCTTTCAAATGCCTACTTCGCACTATATGGAGACTGGCGTCGGTAGCCAGTTGGGAACGGTTGGCATCTTCAAGCAGAAAAGTGCAGCGATCTAGACGCTCAACCATTCTGTATATGCCACTGTGTTGACTGTCTTCTTCACGAGGGATGCGCACTAAGTGACCCTTGGGCACGCCTACACAAAGATAATTGCACTCAACAGCATGCTGCTGAACACCCCTAGCATTTCTTTTGTGGCATAAAGGTGCTCGCTTGCAGCAGCGCAGTAAAGTGCGTTTGCCGTACTTGCAGTAAGGAGGAAGCGTTTGACTTCTTCGAGGTCCGGAACCGGAGCCGTTAAGTCTTTCTTTTCGTAGTATGCTAGTAGTGCGACGTACTGCGCGTATGCCTTGCCATAAAATGAGGCAGGCCTGCACCTTTTGCTCCGAGAGTTGCCTTGAAGTCGCTGCAGTAGCCAGTGCTCAAATTCACGAGCAATCTGCTGTGAATCTGAGTCAATTAGCTGTTGAAGAAAGGCGCCTGGGCTCTCAATGTAGAGCATCCGTTTGTCTGCAGCACATACAACAAAACCCAACATCTGAGTACTATTTATCATCTCCAAGACAACTTTAAACGGATACCCAGTGAATGCTGCAGTTGTAATGCAGCCATTTCGTTGCGAGTCCTAATTTGAGAAAGGTCCTCTAAATTACAACACAGTGTAACTGACATGCGTGGTCAAAAAATGTCTCCTGCATTCTTTTCAGCACATGGTCGACGCCAGCTACCAGACTCAGCTCCTTTTCCACTGCAGACGCCAATGTCGCCAGTTCTCCAAAGTCTTGCACATATTCTTTCACCACCATCTGCTCTTGATTTGGTACGTCGAGATCCAAAACTTCCCACCTGACGTTCTCAGCGGTTTCACTGCAGTTGAGAATGACTGTCCACGATTCCTCTGAAACACGATTAGAACAGCACAACCTTTCAGCTCATTACCGCATCAGCTGATTGTGGGGCACAACTGAGCTACAACTGGTGTTTGGCATTCTTACTGAAAGGCCTTCCGTCGACACCATCTGCAGACACAAGGCAAGCCAAAACAAGACGAGTAGGATGCCCCTACGTTTCATCGTCTAGCTGGAGCTGCAGACGCTACTTCCTCCAGGCTTATCATCTTTATCTACCCGTGCTTGGCTTTACTTTCACTCCCAGGAGGCTATCTCATACCGATTAAACGCTACCGTAGCAACGAAGAGCTCTACGTGGTCTTGCAACAAGCAGCAACTCACTTAGCCTCAGCATTTTCTCGAGGTTCCTGCGACTTGGATTGTGCCATTCGGAAATGTCCTGCTGAATCTCCAAATCTCTTGCTTCTGGGTAAGCAGAGCGCAAGAGCTTCTTGGTGTGATGCCATTCCCGGAGAAAATTAATGGTTCCTTGCATCCCTCCAGCTGTTGTCAGCTGGAAACTTTCCCCATTACTGAAGCGATCAAGAATCGTATCTACGACGTTCTTTGGAAATAAAAGCCGGAGTACGTGGGACAACGTCGTTCGAGTTCGAGGAGTAGGTTTGCCTTTTGCATATGAAACTTCCACTCTATTTGCAGGCAATCCCTCCCAAGGAGTGCCTTCCCGACGCGCTGTAGTTTCGTCCTCTTGAAAATAATTTACATACGACTTCATTTCTTTCCCGGCCTCGCATTGAAAGGGATCAATGCGTTGCAGCATATGCAAGGGCCTTCCTACAAGCTGCACTACTCTGCCTGTGGCTTCCAACGTTATTGTCAAGAACTCGGGTGCATCTTTAGCAGGCTTTATCCTCATAGATATCTTCGGGCCATGAGCTTTCTGGTCGCAAGAACAAAATAGTACAATCAGGTGGCAATGCGTTGAACCAGTTGAATTATCCCTTCAAATTATGACAGAATGCAACTAACATTGGTAATACAAGGCACCATATGCTAAACTCCACTTATAATTACCTTGAGCCGCTGAATTAGACGACCCCATGCTTGTCGGGCTAGAGTAATGAGAGTCAAGAACGGAGACAGTAGTTCCTAGAATGAAACATACACACACCGGGACACGCAAGGGTTTCGCGCGATATTCGGATCTATGCCGTTGGGACTCGCTTGCCTTGAGGTTTTGTCGAAAACAAACTGGCCATTTGAACAGCGACAACTCACCTTTGTTCTCGTCACTAGGCCCCTTCTAATTCGCGCAAAAAGACCTGCCGGTTGAAGAGAGAGAGGGCGTCCTTTGCCCGCATAACCGAACGGTGATCGCATCGGACGTACAGTCTTAGGGAAGGACTGGAGAATTTTTGCAGTTTGCGGGTTCGGCGGCTCGCGAAGTTCGAATTCCAGGGGAACGGCCACTTCGCTTACTGATAGAGTCAGCTTCGTTCCTGCGTACAGCACAGGTGTACAATTGGAACAACACGGTTCTCTTGTGGGTGCGCTTGCCAACAGCACTCACCAACATGCAGCAGCAGGGCCGGCGCTGAGTGCGTTTGGTGCACAGCTTCTCACCCTTTAAGGACGTGAAATACAGAGGCAGTCTGCTGCAGTCCTTTCCCTTGATGAAGCACAAGTTAACTAGTTCCCATGTCAAAAAAGAGTAGGGTAGATTAACGCGATCCAGCATAGCCTTCAGACGCGGGCTTCCTGTAGACTGCACGGCCAACCAGAGCACATCTGTAACTGCACGCCTGAGCAACAACTTAGGAGCAGCATTAGTGGGTGCGTGCAGGATATTGTTTGTTCGAATCTATGTTCTCGTTTCGTCGTGAAGTGGTTGGTATGGTTCCTCGCAAGAAGTCACCTGCAGCCGAGCAACGAACTGGCTCATGCAGCTGGATTTCCCAGGCCGAATGACAGGCTGTTCAATCCCCCTTTGAAGAAAAGATATTCGAGCTGCTTGTTGAAGGAAGAAGAGGTACATCTGCTTCATTCTGGCGGCATCTCTCCAGTTCAACCCATGTGAAGAGTACATCTCATCTAAACGCAACATGGTGTTAGTTCAAAGTGTGGTTTGCTCCACATGGATGGTCAAAGGACGTGCTCACCAGGCACAGCTACGTGAATGCTTCTGCATAAAGGCGTTTCTTTACAGCGAATATGATACCTTTTGCCTCCCAGTTGCTAAGTGCGCCGATCAAAGGAACCCAGTCGGTTGCAACCAGAGCTCTGTAGTCCACATCTCTGTTTACCCACTCCAGCAGGTTTGGCAGCTTATGGACCCGGGCTTTCATCATCGAAATTGCTAGGTCCTGGGACAAAGCAAAACCCCTCAAAACCCACTGCAGTTACATATGCCCGCCTTTCAGCATATTGGCAACAATTATGCACAACAGTTGACACAAAAGTTGCATGGCAACCTTTTGACGCGCTCTGCATGTCCAGGAGGTTAAATACAAGAGTTATCATCGCCTCACTTGCACTTTGACGCCCATTTCCACCATGATAGGCCGTATTTGGTGACTAACTACTGAATCCCAGTGGCTCGTGCTCTGGCCGAGAAATATCGGGAGAGCTATGGACTGCAACGACCGTAAAAGTTTGTAGTATGTCGTGCCAGGCTTTCGAAGCTCTGCAGTAAAAAACAAGCAACAATACTCATTGCCGCGCTCTTTGCTAAGGGGAGAAATGCGGAAGGGACAAGCGCAGTTGCTGAGAGGTGTACGCAATGCCCACCAGACGTAAATACGTGAACAGGCGTCTCCACATGGTGCGGCAGGAATATGAAAGGGTGATCTGCCTTAAACTTGTCCATGCTGATGGTCTCCGTAGAGAAATCAATGAGTTGGATAGCCGCAGGCTCCGAAGGCACGAGGGCTTGGTCTATTGCGTCTCCCACATTCTGGGGGTCAAGGTAGTCCCTTACAACCATCACCATCTGCACAGTGACGCAGAAACGCAGTTATTCACTCGCTGGGCCTTGTGACACTGCACGTGGACATTAAATGAAATAACTAGATGACCAAAATATGTGCAGAAAACAAAATTGCAACATTTGTGGACGCAGGAATCCTTACAGATCTTTTGAGATTTTCGAGGACCGTTGAGTGCGTGTAGCTGTCGAGATTTTCCTTATCCCTTCGCATAAATCCAGATAAGCTCTGCTCCACTGTATTTGGAAGCCGCAGGTCTGACACAAGTCTAGCATACATGTTATGCTTCGCGCTGTCCAAGAAGAGGCTTGCCAATGTTGTAACAAGAAGATTCGCGAGGTCTGCTCAAAACAGTTACAAGTGACGCAGTCCCACAATACCCCTGAGAAAGCAAGGCGTTACAACGCTAACCACAAATTATTGATTGCCTCCCAACTTGCAATCGAGGAAGCCAAAGCGCGGAACGGACTTGCAACTTGGTCGGCCTTGCTGAAGAGGAATCCAAGACCATATGCGACGGCGCAGGCTCGAAACAGTGAGTAAAGTTTATAGTAGGACGATAGAACCAAAAATATGTTCCTCAGAACAGATTTGCTGATGAGCGTTCGCAAAGTCGTCAAGAGGAGTCCGAGTGCACGGATTTCCTTGCTCTTCAAGGCGGTATTGCGCACCTCCAGGGGTATTTCAACTAACAACGAAATGGAGACAACACAGAGTTTGGACCAAGGGTAACAATTCACGAAGTACCCACTGACATCCTATAATGTGAGTTTTAAGTCATCATTAATAATACCCAAGCACATCGGTGAATCCATTGAACCTGGGGTTTATCTAGCTGTTCTGCTCGCTGCACGCGCTTCTTCATGGAAAGTAGACTCTTCGGCTTACCATTTTGCAAGACAGGATCGATGCGACGGTTTTCAGGCGGAGCGTTTGGGGCTGAAATAGCAGCAGCAGCACACATGCGCACACCCTGTTGTTCTGGCACCGTGTTTGTATGGCTACACGCGAAGCCAGTATGATGAGTAACCCAGGATCTGTCTTCTGGCGCTAATTCTTACAGCTTTCCAACTGGAGTCCCGAAAAATCTTCATTGTTGGTACTTATCAACTCGTCAGCATACCCTGGATTTCGCCAACAGCACAAAAGAGTGGGTTCGGACCCTCATGACATTAGTAATATTTTCGTGCATCTCCACACAGTATTTCATTCTTAAGTTCATGTTCATAAGCGCCTACGGAGTGCTACGTTATTTGAAGTATTCCTTTTTACTCATTTTGAGCTGAGAAATTCGCGTGTTCTTACCGACGTCGGTGGGTACGCCTCTTTGAAAACCCAAGAGCTCAAACGATCCAACTAGACCCAAAGACGGAAGCTCCGCCAGTCCTTCATGTTTTCGCACCTCAGTCGTGTTCACAGCAAAACGAGAAGAGTGCCGTGTTGTCTTTCGTGTTGAAATGACCCCTCTTGTCATGGACCACACGGTCAACACGACCAGGGGCACCCAGGCCAGCCGACCACGGCTGGAGTAGAACGAAGTCATTATTCAATTTCTCGCATGTCTTTGCGTTCTGGGGCTTCCCTGAGCACTCTTTTTCGGCTAATGTCGCCACAATTCTCGTCCGCCAGTGTTCAGGGGCTCGCTGGGCTTTAAAAAACAGGTTCACGCATCGGTAGCATGCATAATGAGTCCTACACAGGAGAAAAATTCAATATCTACGGTGTTTCGCCATAAAAATGAGTATTTCAAGGTGCACCGCCCTGCATCATCCGGGAAGCCTCTGCCGACAGTCCTTGTAGTGCACAGGCACTACAATGGAGCTCAAGCGGAATCTTCAGAGGCCTAGTTAGCTGTGAGCGAATGAATACAACACTTATAGGGACAAGTTTTATTACTTTAGATAGAAAATTAAGATAACCAAGCCAAGAATGCTTGGCAGCCACCAGGGTTGGAGGCTGGTCGTGAGGCTGATGCCGCGGTTGAGACAGTGCCTCACTGCAGTCAGAGGGAGATTTATAATTCCCGGCTTTCCTTTCTAAGATTATTGGATTTGAATATGTTTTAAGGACGATTACTTGAATATTTAGGTCATAGTACTAGAGCTAGGCTATGTTTAGTGTATAGATATAGAGAGTGCACCGTGGTAGGTTGACCTAGTTTACATGCGTAGTAAGAGCAGAGCCCGCTGTTCACTACAGTCGCAGAGCACTGAGTTGTTGCGGTCGCTGTACAACCATTGTGTCCTGCCTCATCTTGGCTTTCATTGACAAAGTATTGGTCGTAAATACATAAGATTTACATGCTACCAAATGTCAAATTATTTCAACGCGCGGAGCGTTACACGGGAGTGAACTGAATGTCTCAAGGCCCGCTGAACACGCGGTCCGCCGCAGCCCTATCTAGCAGCAGGCTTGCAGTTCTAGCATCTGTAAACCCCAACGCCCCTGGCTGCACAAATCCAAATTTCTATCGCTTAAATAGTTACGACAACTTTAGCACCTCTTTAGGCACTCAGGGCTTCTAAAGATGAAGGGAGGTGTTGTTGTCTTGGGCGGTCTCGTGACAGGGAGCCGGTCAGTTGGACCTGTCCACGGTGTAAACAGCGGATTAAGAAGGTTAGGCGTTGTCATATAAATGCAGAACCTTTTGACTTCCGTGATAAGGGATCTCCCGATGATCAGGAGGTCCCAGACACGTATTGTCCACGGCACCAACCGGCTTGCGCGCACCGAATTACTCAGCACGTTTATGTATGCGCGTGCTCATGTGTACGTCTATCTCCTCCACCATACAAGCAACACACCAGCCACATATCGGTTTGTGAATGAAGCTTGTCTCAGCCCGAATCTCCGGCACAGGCTGGCTCCTTAGTTGAGTTTTGTACTGTAGCAGGTCTGCACTGCATTCATGCCGTTAACAAATCTCTTCAACAGAAGATTGACGTAGAGCATCGATTAATTCTGCCAATTTAGTACCAAGTTGTTGTATATTAAGCGCGCAGTAGGCCACACTCGAAACCAGGCGGGCTCTTAATCGCGAAAGTTTCTGCTGCAGCGCAAGAACAGAGAAAGGGCCTTTCCGTACATATATGTTACTGTTCATGTGATTATGCTAGCTCCGCTTCGCAGTATAGCGAAATATAATCTTGCAGCACTCGGGAATCAAGCAAATGCATTTCCCGGTTTCTACGTAGTAATGTAGAGTGACTCGTTTGGGCAACGTGGAAACACGCCAGTCGATGCGTTTTCTAGACCTAAGCAGAGACAGAAACAACACTCAGGCTAGAAGATGCAAAAAACACCTCAGGTCTTCAGAGCGCCAACCACTCCATTGCCTTTCGCGTCATGCATCTTCAATGCATGGTGGAACGGCCGACCGTACCTCAAACAAACGCAAACGATCAGGCACCTTAAGTGCTATATAGCAGAGTAAATTTCCCCCAATACTCTTCGGGTTGGATGAGACAGACCTTTTCCGTGTTTCCAAGTCAAAGGGGAAGCTAACACAGCCACCTGCTAGCGCGCTTTGTTAACTCTCCGTTGATTTATAGCTGACCCCACGGCATGATGAAAAGTCGCAAAAAGGTCGTTTCCCTCGGACTACTTTTGAACCAAATATATATATATATATATATATATATATATATATATATATATATATATATATATATATATTTGGGGGCGGGCATATCAGGGGGAAAAGATGCATTGTCATCAGGTACCCCCAGTTTATGTTTTTCGCATTTCATTGTGGAATGGAATACGTATTTCAGCCTTCGTGAAGGCTCACCCCGCTGCGAGTGATGCCTCGAAGCAAATTACTGCCTCACTTTTTGTTGTTTACTAGGGGGTTTTGACGGTGGGAAGAAAGGTGGAAAGCTGAATCTTTTCATCAACGTGAATAGAGTCCGTAATACGAGCAGCCGTGGGTTCCGGTACCAGACCCCTAGACTAACCGAGCATATGCGAGAACGAAACCTAGAAGCAGTTTGGAGGCAACGGTCCGTGTGTTTGGTGCATGGAATACACGAAAGTTTTGATATCTCAGCTCTGGTTGAGGAATCGAATTGGACACCAGTCGTGAAACTGGCAACTCCCAAAAGGCCTGTTTGCCTTCAGCTTCACAAAGTTTGTATCGGCGTAAAGACGTATGCCATGAGCAAAAGAATGGGCGCCTACACGTTTGTGGAATGGAGTAACCAACGCAGTGCACACTGGTGTGCATACACCCTACCGGGCTGCGCGAAGGCAAGCGCCCTACTGAGAAAAAACCAGAATGTCCCTTCAGCACCCCCTCATTCGGCAGCAAGCCACAACAATAATGCATGCATGCACTTTTTTAGCTCTTGTTCTCGCATATGGACTCCACCAGAGACGGCACGCAATCCTTGTTCAGGGAGTGCGTGTTCAGAATTCCACCAAAACGGGGACACAGTTACAGTCGAGCGGAGCGACTCTTCTGTCAAATTTAAATATTTTCGAGGAACCCCGGGCCCGTTTAGCAGCTGAGATTATTCGATTTGACCGTATGGCCAAAGGTAGGTTTAGACGTCGCTGCAGCAGCACAGGCTCTTCATGTGCTATGGAGGAGAAACTCACAGGCCCTGTGTTACTCTATCGGGACGATCACGCGCTTATATTGTCGGGGACAAAGGCGCATTTTATATCAGTCAATGATGAGAAGCACCTCGTCCAATTGGGTCCAACCAACCTTGAGGGATCCTTCTCCTCAGCTGCACCGCTCTCCTCAGCTGGCAACAAGGAGTGGTGATTCATGTTTTTGTCGCCATAAAGGCCTGTCTGCCCTGTCTAACGAGGTAATGTGCAGGTATCTGGCCCGCTTGAACACTTTTCAAGACGGCGGATCAGCGGACGGCACCTGGTCATACACAGTAAGCAGCATTCACTGCGGGCGCCTCCAGCACTGGGTGACGCTTCTTCTCCTCCCCAGTCCACAAGTGTTTGTGAGGGGTCCTACGACACATTCCTTGGAGGCCACTGGTGCGGTTAAATATCAATGCGCTTCATCATCTGTGTGCAATAAAGGCCCCAGCAAACTCGCGGGGAAGACCGTCCGTGCGGCTTACTTGGACTTGCCAGAGCATGAGAAACTGAAAGTCAAGGCCCGTGTGCATTTCTTCGACAAGTGGGAAGGTAAAGTGATGCACAGGCGCTCCCTTATATCCTTGGAGAATACAACATGCCTTAGGGGAAAGCGTTTATGTGAAGGTCAACGGCAAAATAGTTTGGACTAGTAAGCGGTTGAACAGGCTCTTTGCGCCCCAGCTTATCTCTCATCTCATCTTCCATTAATTTCTTGTGGTGTACCGGAAATAGAATCCTCTAACTGGTGTCCCCAAGTGAGTATATCACCAAAGTGCAGCACTTTAACTCGCTCCGAAAAGCATTCAATTAACTTCTGTGCCGATGCAGAGGGCTGGCCAAGTGAGTGGAGGTGGCTGAGTTGAGATACGCTGGACATAAAACTCAGCGGCTTGAACTGCCCAGGTGTGTGCAAGGCGAGGCGTTGACAGCTGTGGCCACTCCTACCCCGACAGACTGTCTGTGCGTCTTGCTTCTGCAGCAACAGCCCAGTGCAAGATGCTGAAACGGACTGTGAATATTCTGTTGTTGCAGGTGCCTGTTGAGATTGAGTTGAACCACAGAGGACCGGCGCTCTTGCTGTCCTTCGGCAGGTGAGGCGGTGCTACTCTTGATTTTGTCTGCTCTTTGTCTTTCAGTCTTTTCCCATGCCCGCAGCACATTGCCAAAGAAGGCAAACCCGTGTTCTGCATCATGGGGAATCGATGACGTCGCGATATATCTCCTCTAAACAAAACTGTAGTTCAACATTTGTCTCTAACTATATTATTGGTGTTTACCCACGGCATTTTGTTTAGTGCGCACCATTTTGCTCTGTGTTTATCACTGAAAAACGACATCAGCACAACTCCTCATCTCAAGTCAATTCATGCCAACAGCGGTTCTGTTGAAGTTGGCGTTCGTCGCACTAAGCCACATGACCGTGCTCTTCCTGCAAGCAAACTTGGGCATCAACATCCCAAAAGAAATTTCTGAGTAAACCCTAAACTCTAGACCCTCCGCCCAACGAAAACCAAAGTCCTTCCGTCATCATCGTTAGAGGCCCCAAGGGGCCGCAACCAGACGAACCCTGCGCAGAGTGGTGCTTGGCCTGGCCTTGAACACCGTCAGCGCCAAGTGTGTTTGCGTCTCTGCAACTGCAACAAATATCCAAACCGCCCCGTACTAATACTGAGCGCAGGAGAATTTATGTACGAACGTGATTCAACTTGCCATAAAAAACAGCATCCTTGGTACACGCATGTGGGCCGCTAGGCTCTGGATTCCTCTTCTTTCGGAACGTGTACAAAGCGCGTCGCGCATCCATGAATTATGGTTAGGCATGATCGGCGAGAAAGCGCCGCAGAAGAAATCCGCTGCGCTCGTACCATTACCTGATTCTCACCGTGCTCCATAAGCAGCCTAGTGGTATATGTACGGCGCGAAACGCTATCACTGGGGCTTCCTGCAAAAGGCATTTTCTTCACTGCACTACAATCTAGCGAGTAGAAGAGGCAGCAATGCCAGTTCTACAGTTCCGGTGAAGCAGCCGCACATCGGCGCATCTCCCACGACGGAGGTGCTTCTGTAGCGCCAGGCCGAGGCAAGGACGCTGTGCATACAAGACTACGTACACATGCATGTGCATACAAACATACAACACACACATTGCCATCAATGATACCACGAGAGCTCTCAGTTCAATGCAGGCATTGGTGAGTTTGAGCCTCGTTAACCATTGCAGTCGGTGAGTAGCGGGCAAGTGTTCCGGTTTAATTTTCTGTATCTGCAGGAGTGTCCAGGCACTTATGCAGTGTCCCATGCCCCTTCCAAGGGGCCGTGATGAAATCGCGCATCGATACACATACGTTTACACTAGACATATACTACTTATATTTATAGATTCAACCTGATGCGCGTTCCAGACTTCGGCTGCAAGAGACGTAGTCATCCCTGTCGCTGGTGTGCTGAAGCTGGCGGCTGCTGTGCAGTGCCGTACAAGAGCAATGCTGCGTAGACGACAAGCACGTTCTTTTTCTGCGGTGATTCAGGTGTACATATAGTGCAGTCCAAGAGCACCGTTGCCGCTACAACACTGTCCTTATGCCTGCATCCAAGTGTGCTTCCCTGAGGAGGGGTTAGTGTGAGAAACTAGAAAATACAACATACAATGAGGCTGCATCTTTGGTGCTGATGACGAGTGCGTACAGATCATCTACCAAGAACCTTCAAAATAGGCTAAGCTCCATAGATTACCTGCAATTCGAACGCAGTTTCGCCTCTCTGTAAACTACAGCATTGTTGTTTCTTGTGTCGCCAAGACATATATGCATGTTGCTTCTTCCGCCGCATGCTTCACTATAGCTAGAGCATTGTTTTAAGGTGCTATACAGAAAAATAGGAGTCTTTAGGCAACAACCACACCGGTACATCTTCTAGTTTAAGCGGGTTGCCGGACATAGGTCAAGGATTCCCCAGTCTGCAGTCTGCAGGAGCTGCAACAGGAGGTGTACTCAATATACCGGAGGGCACCCGAATGCCGATCAACACAGACGCGCAACTGAGTGCCCACCGTCATATATACACATAGATAATAAACATGTATATGCTTTTGAGTATATATATATATATATATATATATATATATTGCAGAATCAGCCGCTGCCACTGTCTCCTAGAACAAAAAAGATACAACCAAGATGCCGCTGCTGCCGTCGTTTCTGCAAACTGCGCAGTTCATTGCAGCAGCAACAACAGAAGGTCTATTACTTCATGCGGGGCAGACTCCTGCGGCACAACAAACAAATATCCAAGGGAAGAGAATTGATACAGGAGCATCGCAAAACAGCAACAATCCCTCCACACGGCCGAAGACGAGAACAGATATATACAGATATGCTGCCGCCTCACCTCCCGCGTGTATCTGTTAATGTTGGGTATCTCTCATCAAAGTACTTCTGAAACGATCCGTATTCCCACGCTCTCTCCACCCTCTTGGCCATGAGCTTCATGTTCTTCCCTGTCCAGTGTATGTATTTCTGCAGGTGAAGCGTCAGGCGCTTCTTCGAGCCCTCTGGCGGATGGCGCGTCTCATAGAACATCCTGGGTGACAGAGAGCAGAAACAAATAACAGATACAAAGAAATAGAAACGATTGTATACGAATTTCACGAACAAACGAAAACAAAAATGGCAGAATACACGACTGAGAAGGCGCCCCCCCACTGCCGCCAACATGCTTAGAGGCGCATATCTACACTTAGGAAGCACAGAGAAGCAAACGCAACCAAAACCAAGCTCAAGCACCGTTATATACAAAAATCTCACACGTGTTTGCCCGCTCTTGGGTCATGCTTCCTCAGTGCAATCCTCGTGTTCTTCTTGCTCGGTGACTTATGCGTCATATAATAGAAGTTTGAGAGGGCGGCGCTTTTTAGCTGCACTAGCAGACGCTTACTACGACTACGAAGCAGGCAGGGAGAAAGAAAAAACATTTTTCAGTTAGGCTTTATCCAGGACGTGAAGAAGTGCGCTGTGCATACACCCCATGACACAGCGAAGCTCGAGGAGGCGCCGATGAAGAGGCAAGCAAGGGGGGGAAATTGACTGACTTGTAGACAAAATAAAACTGCTACAATAACCAGAAGGAAGCGTTTTCGGCTCTATTTTCTTAAAACACTAAGAAAAGGGTAAATATGGACAGCGGGACAGATGATTCCAAGAAGAGCAGAAGAACACATGCTAAGTCTCACTCTGCCAGCCACTGCAGAATTCCTAACATCTCAAATCATTTACAAAACACACAAACAAGAGTTTGTGAATATTTCGTCCTGCAGTCCAATGAACATCTGGCAGTCATTGGCTGGGGGGCCCAGCCCCGAAGGTGCATGCATCGCTTGCTAGCGAGCACGTTGTTGACTCCTAAGGAAGCCGCGATATTCTAGATAATCAGCATCTCGTTGCGCACAACAATTGCGTTGCGCTTGCTACTATCTGTATATATGTCTCGGACAGCTATGTTTCACAAACTCTGCGGAGCTATGACTGGACCTGTCAGTCCTTAGTAGCATTGTCTTGCTTGCCAACAGCGCGCTGACAGAAGAGTTGTGACAATGAAACGCTACCATCCCATTAAGAAATGGAAAGTGATGCGCAGACAAAACTATAACAATACCTCCGTTCTGCCACCGCGCCCCAGAAACTCCCGTCCATCATATTCCACTACACCTCTGCGCGTCCTGTGAGTCTTGTCGGCCGTTAGTTGTTGCTCATATTCGTCCCTCTAGACTCCTACGTAATGTACGCTGTACTGACTCATTGAGGGGCATTCGTTGCATTGCCTCTGAGGGGTGTTCTCGTAGCAATTAATTAATTAGGCCATTTGCAGACGCTGTATCTAGTCTTCCCCCTACTCCTGCCAGTGCATGTAGGAGGTTGTTTGCTCTTCTAGCTGCCCATGTATTAGCTAAATATTATATATATGCATACATATGGATGTAGTGAAACTGCAGTGGAGCAGAGTCAGCGCAGAGGCGCTTGACGTGCTGCAGAACTAGCGCCAGAGGGACTGGTCGTGGGAAAGTCTCCTGGTTCTATTCGTGGATACTATGCTGTGGAGGACACTGCAAATCCGACGACTGTTCTTTCCGTTGGGGCAAAACAACCTGTCTGTATACAGCCCAAGCCAGCTCCCTCCAACCAGTCGGCAGCAGAGAATCCTGCCAGCATTTTCTTGTAGACTTCATCGTTGAAACAGTTCACAGTATTCTGATGCGCTTTTCTGCAACCCCTAAGCGGAGAGAGCAGAAGAACAAGAGGAGCATGTAACCCGTCATTATGAGCCACACCATGACTGCCGGCTGTAGCAGAGTCCGTATTGACATGTTTACAGCCCCCACGCAAACATTCGCAAGCAGGAATATAATCAACTGATTGTCGTTGGTTCCCCTAAGTGCCCACTGTGGGCATACGCGAGCTGTACGCACAGCAACAGGACAGAGGACGGCAAAACTTAGGTGCCCTCCAAGTAAACAATATATTCTTTTAGACTGAAGAGGCTGAGTGCTTCATAACTAATGCCGTCCCAAGATCAGCGCTCACCAGCCAAAGCATCTGCGAGGGTTGCTGTGCCCACAGCGAATAGTTCAATGCCTCCAACAAATGCCACCCATGTGAGATTAACAAAACGGCGGCGAGCTAGTAGGCCAAAACCCTCTTGCAAAAATAAACCAAAAGCTATGCACAGGAACGCAAAGCTGAGTTGCACAAAAAAGACACATGCATTCAGTCCACGGGGAATATGATACCGTGCAGAGGGAATTTAAAGATGCTGCATGAATGCGTCGACAGAATGAGGGCTGCAGCACTTATTCTACACCGGGATGCATAGAGATGCATAAATCTAAACTGAAGCGACAAAAAAAAAGCAGATATCGTGAAGAAACGGAAGACGAGGAGAAACAAGGAAGTTAAGACGGAGGCAAGGAGAGAATATATAGAAATGACACAGCAGAAAGTGAGAAGATACAGAAACAACAGAACACACAAAGGAAATGCATAGAAATAACAGGAGACAAAGTGGAAGAGCCGAGAAAATTTAACTCACGAGTAAAGGTGTAGAACGAGAGAAAACAAATTTAGGCGCTTTGGATTCGTCCTGTATAACAGAAAAACAGAAAAGGCAGAAAACCGCACTGCAAAAGTAGAGGTAAACAACAGATACAGGGGTGGCAGTCCACAAAAGCGGCACTGAAAACAAGATGAAGGAAGCCAAATCAAATGGGCAAATGAAGAGAATGCTATTAAGCATAAAGTGTTGTATCACTCCTTGCTTACTCAGACTTCTCTTGGTGCGTTGGGGCCCGCGTGACAACGAAGTGCCCCAAAGCGACGGCCATAAGGAATAAACAGAGGAAGCCTGAAGCACACGCATTTATATTATTGCTTATCCCCGCATGGATGTATGCGCGTATGCATACGTGTTTGTACTCTTGTATGCATGGGTGAGAGCGTATGCAGACTGCTGTACGCTGGATGTTGTCTGCACGCTGCAGTTGCATTCCTCCACAAGAGTGAAATAGAGGTCTGATAAATCTCAAAGCAGAAACAACCAAGAGGCACCTAGCTGCCTACCTATAGAACCCAAGATTCCTTCCCTGTTGGACGAGAAGAAGTCTGCAGTCAGTCGCAGGCGCACAGACTAAATGAGCCTTCACCCGGGTTTGGGTAAGTTATTGCTTACGCTGCGAGGGTCTCGAGTCTGAGGCTCACTTGTTCGCGGCCCCTCCATCATCCATTCATCAAGATCCGCGGAAGAAATAACAATCTGGTAGCCTGAACGCACCAATTGTAGACGAAAACAGAACGTGACCATACACCTCAAACTACCACGGCCCGAATCGTGAGGCCTGCCGCACAATACTGCCTTTCCGCTTTCTATTGGATGCGTCAGTTGTGTAGGTAAAGAAGATGTAGTGATGTGTAAACTTCAGATGCGCAAACACCCGAGAGGGGAGGGAAACTCACAGACAAGAAGCAGTAAACCGATCGACCCAGCCTTGTAGGGATGGCCGCTGTACGTGCATACCAGCTCGCCCACTGCGTGAGCAGCACAGCAGCAAACGATTACAAGAACTGCTGGCAGGAGAAATATAAGCAGCCCAACAGAAGTCAGCGGCTGAAGGGGGGACTAGACAGAGAGTTGCAGTGAGTTTCGCAGAAGAAAGTCAACATACATATTTATTCAAATAATCTTAAGGGCGTGCTAGGGTTTAGGGTTTCAGGTTTAAATGCATAGGGTTTGCGAGGGTTTGATGCGTACACACAAAAACCACCATTAGGGTCATGTAAAAATTCCATTGCAGGCCGTACTCCGTCTCTGAGACCTTCATACAAACAGATTCACATGAGGTTGCACAGAACAGCGTTAAAGCAAATAGGCAGAAAGAGGGAAAAGGAGACAAGAAAAAAACAAAGGAATTACAGAAGGATCAATAACATAGACAACTCCTGATGGTCGTTATTAGCTGCCCGGATCGTACATCGCAACCTTCACTTCAGAACTGCAAACTGAGCTGCGAGTCAGTGCTCCTCCTCGCCTATTCAATGCAACATCTATGCAACTGCAGCAGCAGCGGCGGTTGCCACAACTCACATGCAAATTTGTAAGCGACATAAAAAGAAGGCGAATAAGCCCGAAGATGCCCAACGGGCCGCTATGAAGGGCCGCCTGGCTCACGGTTGCCCAAAGAGATTCTCGTTTCTTTGGAGACCCTAAACAGAAGAAAAAAAGATGAATCGCAAACAGCGCGTAAGTACAGGAGATAAAAGTCAGATATAAAGCCTAACCAGACGGAGAACGGTGACCCAGGCAGAGATAAAGAAATCACACCCACGATAAATCAAGGGCAGAGGCTCAACAACCCAGGGGCGCAGTATATTTTGGACTTTGTTCTGTTTTGTAATTGTTACTAAGGGGATAGGAATAACTGTGCTAAATGCAGTGTCTAGACTGTCGGCATAGTTTCTGCTGCTAACCCTTGGAGTAAGATGAGACCATTCCTGAAGTGAAGATGATGCCTCCGACTCCCAAATCCATCTGAAGCGAACACCCACACCCCCAACCCTAAACCCTAAACCCTAAACCCTAGACTGTAAACCCTAGACCCGAAGTCCTTGAAAGGTGACTAAACCACGAGAGTGGATGCCCAGAAAACGGCAACACCCCGGTGACGAAAAAAACCTCAACAACCAGACGCAGTATATGCAAGATGTTCGTTATATAGTCCTATTAAGCCTTAATCCCTAACTTCTCACCAGGGTCACTCCGGAGTTGACGCTTTTGCAAAACTTTCGCGGAAACGTCAAGAAATCGACGCCCAGGATCGCTGAGGACGCAAACCCCAAACCTCAAACCCTCATATGTGCTACTGGCAACCACACCCAGAGCGCAGAAGTAAACTGGCTGTAAGTACTTGCCGTTTCGGGACTGGGCTTGAACAAAGGACGAAAAAGCAAAGATGCGACAAACCAGGAAGCAACCAAGTTACAACCTCGCAACCAACCAAAAAGAGAACGAAACAAACAAATAGCAGGTAGACAAAGAAGCAAGAAAACAAACAAGGACAAACAAAAGAACAAACAAACAGGCTTCAGGGGACGCACCGGCGCAGGTGACGATCATCTGCATGGAGCGGTGATCTGCAAATGACACAAAATGCCCATGCCTGCAACCACAGCCACAACAGCAGCAGCAGCAATGAATTGTAGGGGATAAGCAGGAGGAACAGAAACTAGAACAACATGGACTCAAGCAGCGCCAGAAGCAACAGAAGCATCAGCAACAGCAGAAGCAGAAACTCTTCTTGGCTGACTTCTTCCTTAACGTCGAGAGTTCATCTCCTCCTCTGCAGAAGCAACACGCAGATAAACCAGAGCACCAATCAAATGACCAAACACTCCAATCCAAGTCTATTACCTCCCTCTGAGACGGGTTACAGCAGCAGCGGCAGCAGCACCAGCAGCAAGCGGTGGAGTTAGCGCTAAGGTAACCGGCAGCCCATAGCAGCAGCAGCGGCAGCAACAGCAGCAAACAACATGCCCAGGGCTAGCAGCATCTGAACATTTGATTCGGGTGTACGTACAGCAGGCGTTTAAGAGAGATAATGCCTGGAGTCCCCCGACAGCTGTAAAGCCAACGCAAACAGAACATTTATTGTTTTTAAGAAGAAAGAGAATATTCAGCTACATAACTACCTCCATGTGTACTGGTGTACAGACAGCTGAATGCTGTACAGGGCCGCTAAGGCAATCACGCCGCCCACGTGTAACTCGAAATGTCTATGTAGGGAGCAAGTGTTGCTGGCTAGGACTTGTAATCAGATCTCAATTAGTAAATATACGTAGACTTGAGTTTATACATACACGTGAAAACAAACACATATATATATATATATATATATATATATATATATATATATATATATATACACAGACTACACACCCACAGGCACAAGAACATGCAAACATGCATATGCACGTACGTACATACACACATACATAAGCGGATACATACACATACACATGAGCAGAGGCCTCGACGGGAGGTAGCTATGAATAGCTGCATGCGCCTGTGCGTACACTGCAACACCCTACGTCTAGGGGCTGGAGCGTTTCTCTGTGTTGGTCTGCTGCCTTGTTTGCTTTTCGGGTGTACGTACCTGATGACCCCTAAGGCAAGGATGATGAACTGGATCCCCGCGACAAGATAGACGGGGATGGGGAAGAGAAAGGTGTAGCAAGGCATGAGAAAGCAGCAGACAAGGCAGCTCAATGCGTCTGGTGCAGCAGCAGGGAGAGATAGAAATGCTGCAGCGGCAGCAGCCGCTGCTGCCAAAAGAGATAGAGATATAGGCGGCAAGAACAGATAGAAATAAACAAAAAATAACACAGAGAGAGGAACCCACAGCCGGTGGAACACAAGCACACAGCGACGCCAAAGAGACATGGGACGAGACGAAGATACACCCAACCGGCTCTTTACAAACAAATGCAGCTGCTGGGCTATCAAGGGGGATATCTGAAACAAACAAAAACAACAACGAAAAAGCAACACACACAAGAGATCGACCCAGCATACACCTACTCCCAATACATATATATATATATATATATATATATATATATATATATATATATATATATATATACATATATATATATATATACATATATATATATATATAATCCTTCAGGCCGTGGATTCTGCTGGAGTTGTTCGTTTCGAGTGTACGTACAGCAATTAAAAAAATGCACGTCAACAGCTCCGGGAGGTTCGGCTTCTCGAATTTGTTGTAGCTTCCAAATGTCAGGATTGATTTGTACTGCTTATCCGGTGCAGAGAGGGTACAGTCGCTTAAGATTTCGCCGAGGTCCCCCAGGGAAACTGACGGGGGGGGCCCCGAGGAAGACACCTGGGGGGCCCCCCCGGGGGGAGGGCGGTAGGGGAAGCCAGCAGAAATGAAGGACCTGCGGATGCCTGGGGGGACGTAATTAGGAGACCAGGGGGCCGGACAGGCAAATGCTTGCAGCAAGAAAGAGGTGAGGGTGTTGGGGGGCCCCCAAAGGGACGGGGGCCCCTTCGAGGTGGCTGTTTCCATATCGGTTGCCCACGAGGCAGCACCACACCGCTTAAGAAGGACAGGCAGAGACCACCACAGAGCCTTCCTACTGCGCTTCAGGCCTTAGGACTTAGGAATAAATAACCATCGGAACGATGGACGGGGGCGCCGGGGGGCCCTATGAACCGTCTCGGCAGCAGTGTAAGCCTGAATCAAGGTGTCCCGCAGGAACTGAGGTAGGAAATTAAGAAGTGAAGGCAAATAAGATATTGTATTTTGCTAGGATGCGCTGAAGTGTACAGACACCCCAACTCGCCGAGGATGGGCGGGCGGCCGCCTGCTGGTTTTATCGGCCGCGCTGGGCAGGTGGTGCTGCGGCTGAAAGTGTTCAGTGGTTGGGTTTCCTCTTTTTTCATTGAAGCCAAATTGAATTTATAAAAATGCTAGAAAAAATAAAATGAATCTTGACTTCTTTTTATTTGACCCTTCCGACCCGAATTCGCCGCTTGCGGTGCGCAGACACCCGAACCGCTGCTCCTGTAGAGGCCCCTTTCCTCCGATCTTTGGGCTTCATTTTTTGTTGCAATTGACTTATGCTCAGCCCCTACTCTCGCAGCCCTTCAGGGCATCTGAATTTCTTCCCTTCTGCTCCTGCGGCCTCAGCCAACAAGACGAAACAGCTCCGCATCAATTCCTCCTCACGCCGCCTTCAGGGGGCCCCAAAGGCTCCAAGGGGCCCTTCCTGAGCTCACAGGTACATGCATGACGGGGGTTCTCAGAGAAGGCCTCAGGAGAAGTATCTTCCCCGCGGCAACACCACGAATGCTGCTGGGGTCGTACAGGGGTGTGCGCATCCTGTCCGGAGCGTGTAGGAAAGGGTTTAAACTTTAGGATTTACGATTTGGGTTATTTTGGCAACGGCTCGACGGTATTGAAGGACGAGGGGTTCAGCGGGAGTAGGTGTGAGGGGCGGAAATTTCGTAGAGATGATGGCGATCGGGGCCCCTTGCGACCTGGAAGACGGGGAGCTCTCAGCTTCCCCTGCTGCTGCTCAGGCTGCAGTAGCAGTAGCAGCAGCACACGTTGCAGTGGCAGCAAAGGCGTCATCAGTAGCAGCAGCTGCTGCAATCGAAGCATCTGATGCAGCAGATGACTTCTTCGAGGCAGTGTCAGCTCACCGACAAGAGCAAGATCAAAGATATGCGAATGGGAGGAACACTCCTCTCCGTTCCTCCATTCCTTTGTCAGGTGTACAGACACCTGAAGCTCGATGTAGAGATGAGGGGCGCCAACACCACACAGAGGAATCCTCAGCAGCTCTGTGTCCGTCGGAACCCCCAGAAAAATTCGTGCCAACAGCGGAGCCCCACCGGGGGCCCCCCAAGACTCCTTCAAATAGCAGGCCTCCTCAGGGGCCCCCATCCAAGGGGCACCTAAGGGCATCGGCTGCTGCCGCTGCAGTTCACGAGCCTCATGAGGAGGGGGTTAATGGGGGCCCCGAGGGCGGCATCGGCATTTCTTCTCAGGTTGCCCCAAGCATACCTCTTGAGGGGGCCCCTGGCGGAGGCCAACGAGGAGACCCCTTTCCACCTCCTCACAGCAGCAGACCCTCTGAAGGGGCCCCTGTACTGGAGGCGACAGCAGCAGAAGTAGAGTCTGCTGCACTGGAGCCATCGCAGACAGACAGAAGGGGCCCCATGGGGCCCCCGCAGGACACTGCACGCTCTCGGGGGGCCCTCAGTTCTGCCCGCTCTTTGTTGTCGCCAGCGGGCAGCATAGTTGGCATGCTGCAGCAACAGCCGCCGCCGCCGCAGCAGCAGCAGCAGCAGCAGCAGCAACAGCAGCAGCAGCAACAGCAGCAACCACGGAGGCTATCAGACGGCAAGCGAGGGCTCTTGCCGCTGAACCTACAGAAAGCACATGCTGTGAGCTTACATTGTTACGAGTTGCTGCCTCTGTTATTGCTGCTGCACCGTTTGCTGCGGCTGCATTCGCGTTTGCTTCTGTGACTCTCCCTGCTGTTTTATTTTTTTTTTTGGTTTGTTTTCCTTTGCTGCTGCAGCAACGCATGCAGACAATCGACATTCAAAGGGGAACAGAAGGCGTGGACGGCCCCATAACGGTGGTGAGGCACACAGGCATCCATTCCCTGTACTGTTGAGCTGAGCGTCTGCTCTGCATGCATGCATGCATGCATGCATGCATGCACATGCATTTGATGCTTTTTCTTGTATTGGGGCTGTCCACAGGCACCCGATGAGGACTTATTAGACCAACTGCATAAACTCTCTACGAAAATCCAGGCACAAGAAGACGAGAAGGTAAAGCAGCATCAACGGCTGCTGTCTTCTTCTTGGTTGCTTGCTAGCAGAACTACAGTTTGTTAGGGGAAGAAGGTCCTCATTCTGAGGGTTTAGGGTTTAGGGTTTGGGGTTTAGGAGTTGACGAGTGTAGGATCTGCTCCAGCGGGTATTGGCGGAGGTTTCAGTAGGGGAAAAGCGCCTTATGCATGCTGAGGGTTTAGGGTTTAGGGTTTAGGGTTTAGGGTTTAGTGGGGTGTGAGTTCTTTTGCAGCGGGTGATGGCGGAGGAGAGTTTTCAGCTGGAGCAAATACTGAAGCGGCAGTATCACGCGGACATTCGTCAGAAATCAGAGCAGAACAGACAGCTGGCACTCGACAACCAAACCCTGAGGCAGCAGATAGTAAGCAAATATATGTAATACTTTAACTCCTTTCTGTGTTTCTCTACCTCTTTTTATTGTTCTTTTTCTGCAACAACTTTGTTTCCATTGAAATGTTCGGGGCTGTTTATTTTCTTATGCTCGTAGGAGAAACTGAACGCAGAATGCGAAGGATTGAGGGGAGCTGTAGCTGTAGCCGAGGAGGTCATGGCTTCTTTCTTTGAAAGGCGGATGCGGCCCCCTCTAGATATGCCATTAAGCCAGCGGGTCAGCCCCCTGAAAAAATATGAACAATGCATGCGCGCATGCGTCCGGGTGTACATACACCTCATTTCGTTGGAATCTTTGGCTCGTCTAGCGTGTTTCTGCTCCTGAACTGTGGAGTTTATGCTGGTTTCTTGCTTCGTGTTCACTCTTTTTTTGTCTCAGGACGAGGATGACATCGTCACTGTGTCTACTGATTCGTCCCTAGAATGCCGACTTAATGCTTTATTTGCTTCGATAAGAAACGCAGTAGCTGATGAAGAAGAAACGCTGGACATTTCAAAAACACAGGTAATTCATAACCATCACTGCAACTCAACCAGACGGGCTGTATCAGTTGCATGCGACGCAGTTTACATAGGAAAACAATAGCTGTAGGCACGTTGGCGGGATATATATATACATATATATATATATATATATATATATATATATATATATATATATATATATATATATATATATATATATATATATATATATGGCCGGAATTCGGTCTCTAGCAAGCACTGACTGTCTGCTGTTTCTGTGTTTGTGGTGGTTCCAGGAGCTGCAGCATCGGCTGGAAGGGGCAGCTGCCTTATGTCGGAAGACGTCTGCTGCAGCAACTGCTGCTGCAGCAACAGCATCTTCATCACCCAGACCTGTGGAGAGCTTCACGGAGAGCGCTCAAGTTGTTGCCGGGCTGCCCGCTCAGGTTCGTGGGTCACCTAGAGCTGCTGCAGCGCGAGCAGCCGGAGGTACAGCAGCAGCAGGGGTGGCTCTGCTGCAGCAAGAAAGGAGGCCCCCCACGCTGCCTCGTATTGACGTTGATGCGGCTCTGCCCAGCAGCGAAGCCCAGCTAGAAAGCCTTAAACTGCAGATCGAAAGACTCCGCGAAAACTTGGGTGCCTTCACAGAAGGACTGCTGCATGCACACGAGAGTGAGATACATGCAGGGTCACTTGGGGCTGGCGAGAGGCGGCTACAGCACGGGGGGGAGTTTATGACGGGCTGGCTGTGCTCAACGGCATGCAGAGGCGCGCTGTCCCCAGTAGCTTAGGGTTTAGGGTTTAGGGTTTAGGGTTTAGGACTTGTATGGTTTTCGACACAAAGATCCAATATTGCGTGCATGCATCTGTGTATGCATGCGTTATATTTTTTTTTCTGTGGTTTGTTGTTTGCTGCCTTTCTTTAGGGCACCTGCAAACGCAGAGAACCCCCAGTGTCGCTGGGGGCCCCGAGGCCCCTCCAGAGAAGGTGGAGGGCCCCCCAAAGTATGTGGATGTCTCCCCAGTAGAAAGGGCATTTTCAAGGTCCCCCACAGCAAAGGAGGTTCAGAAGGATATACCCCGGGCAACACCTGCTGCAGCAGCAGTGCAAGTGCCAGCAGCAGCAGCAGCAGCAGCAGCAGCGGCATCGTCAGCAGCAGCAGCAGCAGTGCAAGTACCAGCAGCAACAGCAGCAGTGCAAGTACCAGCAGCAGCAGCGGGTGCTGCGAAGGGCCCACCAGGGCATATGGGGCCCCCAGCGCCATCAGCAATAGGAAAGACGAAATCTTTATGGGGTGCTGTTCCGAAGCGAGACGACAAGGCAACGCCTGTGCTTCAGCTGCCGCCGCAGGGTGAACGAGTGCGGGGCGCTGTGTTGCGTCCTGCTGCTCCTCACCAGCGACAGCAGCAGCACAACAGCTCTTGCAGTGCAGAAGGAAGCTGGGGATCATGTCTGCAGCTTAATGGGGGGGGATTCTTCGATGCTTGTTGTGAAAGGGCAGCAAAACCTGGGGTGGTGCTACCACCACTCAAACAGCGGCAGCAACAGTGCAGCAAGGGGCCCTGCAGCCGGCAGAGGGGGCCCTCCAAGGGGAGCTCCTCTCTGCTGGGGCCCCCTGGGGGCCTTCCCGTATCCGCCTCTGCGGCGAGTTTGCTGCCAGCCCTGAAGCCGGCTCCAGCAGCAGCAGCTGCTGCTGCTGCTACTTCTCGCGCTTCCAGAGGGGGGCTCATGGGTTCGGCGTCCGCAGTGGATCTGTCTGTGGTGGGGAGGCCCCTGGGGCCCCCTCGAGGGCCCCCTCCCCCTACTACATCGCTTTACACAGGCCCTAGATACGGCGCCTACCCTGCTTCTGTTGGGACCCTGCAGGGGGGCCCTGTCTTAGGGCCCCTCCCTCTGCCCCGGCGGGTGCAGCAGCGAGCTGTGTTGCCAACAGCAAACAGGAAGCAGTGGGCTGCCTCTTCTCGCAGCAACAGCAGCAACGGAAGCAGCAAGGTATTCAGCCGCACGAGACGCAGCTGCTCCCCGATAAAAGAAAGGTCAGAAGACGCTCCAGCTAAGGGGGCCCCAGGGGGTGATCCCTCCTCTGACATCCCTGGGGCCCCTCTTTCTATTGAGTCGAAGGTCAGCCCATCAGCAGCAGACTCTAGAGGGGAGGCGCCCGACGGAGCTCGTCTTAAGACCCCGCTTCTTGTTCCGGAAGACTGGGGGGCCCCGGGATCCCAGGGACAGGTGGAGGTGGGGGGGGGCCGGGGGCCCCCCTGTGCCCTCCTCAGGGGCCCTCCGCTGTATGCTGTAACACCGCCCAGGGAACTGTCGCCTGTCGGGATGCCGCCAGTTGACTGGAGCAAAGGAGGGGCCCCCTTGTACGCAGAGAGCATGGGGGACTACGCGGGCGCTAGTGCTGCCCGAGCTGCTGCTGCAAACCAAGAGGCAGCAGCACTAGCAGCAAGACTGGTGTCGCCTTCTTCCACCTCCTTTGTACATTCTTACAGTCAGCCGCCTATAAGGGCATCCCCAATGGAGGCAGTAGCACACCTGAGCCATGCTCTGCTGCAGCAGCAGCAGCAGCAGGCGTTCATCATGTCTCTGCAGTCTCCAGCAGCAGTAGCAGCAGCAGCAGCAGCAGCAGGAGGTAATGTAGGCATTCTTCGAAGCCCTATAAATGCATACAGCCCGGTGGACTGCCGATGTGCTACCCCACCCAGTATGAGGTCCCCTCCGTTTGCTGCCGTATCGGGAGGTCGGGGGGAGCCCCTGAGGGGCCCCTCACCTACCGGGGGGAGGAGTGGGGGCCCTTGGGGAGCATGCGGCTTGCTAAGCCCTTTGTGTTATTCTAATCCCGCTCTTAAGAGCCCTAACAGTAGCCGGAGCACCAGCAACATCCACAGCATACAGCGACAGAAGGAAGAAGTGGGAGAGTGGGTCCAATCGAGGCCCTGACCTGAGTCCGCATATGCCCTTATACCTCGTGTATTTATCTATTGCTTTTTATTTGTTTAAGTTTTTGGCTTGTATTTATTAAATTGTTTTTGTTCGTTTAAGTCTTTGGCGTGTCGCACCGGACGCTGGCACAGCACAGCACGCACTCAGCAGGTAAAGAGCATCATCAGACTCTTGTTTTCTGCCCTAAAGCAAAGGGGGGCCCCTTCTGGCTGTTTCTTGTTGAGGCTCCTCCGCCCGAAGCTGAAGACGCTAAGGAGGCCCCTGGGGAGGGGGCCCGTAAAGGGCCCTCAAGGGGCCCCCAAAAGGGCCCCTAATGCACACCCCAGGCAAACGGCGTCAGCTCGGGGACTGCGGGCCAATGAGGATCGACGACGCCAATCGCCTCCTGCATATCGGGCGGCAGAGGGGCACTCACACGCAGGCTGTCGGCTGTTGTAGGATGCATGCAGCACATCTCAGCTGCATGCAGCAGCGGCCGCATATGTGCCCTCCCTAGAGCCTTTGGGGGGCGAGCCGGTTGAACCCACGGTCCCTTCTGGGGGCCCCCGGGGCCCCCAGAAGACCCCCCACGGGGTTCTGATCTAAGGGCGACTGCGGACGCGAGAAATGCAGAAGTCGCTGAGGTATCGCCGTATAGAGGGTCGCCGATAATGGGAGTTTTTAGCATTTGAAGGTGCAGTCGAATCTGATGGGTCCTCCCTGTTACGGGGGACGCCAGCACAACACTCCACTTCCCGTTGCATAGTAGAGGTTTAAATAAAGTGACGGCCCCTCGTAGCTTTCCTGAAGTAACACCAGTAGCAGCAGCTCCATGTACACCCCAGATTTGACGCGCACTCTGCATCTTGCGGCGATCGGTGGGGGCCCTCCCTATGTAGGAGGTGACCGTCATTGGGCCTTTTAGCCGCCCTTGTGTAACAGCGAAATATATTTTCTTAATTCTTCTCTCTCTAAATTGTTGTCGTAAACAAGAGGCCGCAGCTACAGTCTTAGCTAGCAGCAAGACACCAGAAGTCCCCTGATCCAGTCGGTGCACAACGACATCCCCTCCCAGCGTCTGTTGGCTTTCCATGGGGGCCCCCAAGCCAGGCTCTGCGGGGTCCCCGACCTGGGGGCCCCCCACCTCGTATGCTGCGGAGAGGTTCCTGAGGGTCTCCGGAATCTGCATAGGGTCGCTCAGCGCTTTATAGTGAGCAATGACGCGTTCGATTACTGAATCTGTCCTTGTGGCCGTTGGCTTCTTGGCCGCTGTAGACACGCAGTGACAGACAGCCGACAGTTGACACAATGGAGAGTCCCATTAAGAAAGCAGACACCAAATTCGCTAGAAATATAGGAGAGATAATCCAAATGAAGGGGCTAGTGCGAGCTAAGAGAAGCGAACGGGGGTGGAGCTCCGTACCTGTGGCGGAGGGGGAGGGAAAGACGGGTATTCCTGCTGGTTTGTTCAGCGCGATCAACGCGTTGTCCTCGTGCAGGATGTCCATTCCCCCAATGCTTTTCTTGCTGCCTTCTTTGTTTCCTCCTTTAGGGCCCCATTTGCTGTTGTGGTTCTCTGATTCGTGGTTGGCGTGCGCCGGTGATGCAGGCGCTGCAGAACTCCGCAGTGGCCCGGCATTGTTGAAACTCCCTTCCAGAGGAACCCCTCTTAGGAAAATTAAACCTCTTCGTTGGTGCTGATGCTGCCACGCCAAGGCATAAGCAGCAGAGAAGAGGAGAGGGATGAATGTGACGCGAATCCACTGCAGAGGTTTCATGTGTTGGTTTCAACCAGACACTGTTTGCGGGAACATCGGCGCATCTCAACTATACATCAAATATACAGATGAAGCCTGTTGGTTCGAAGATCTCTGGTAAGAGTGCAGTTCCTTATTGCCCAAGGCGCTGTTCCTGATAATGAAGGCCACATCTCGGCAACAAAAGTGTACGCTGCGGAGGCGAGGCGAAGAGTATCAGCCCCAAAAATATATTAACATGAATAAATAAATGAAATTACTGCTCCATGCAGAAGAAATGCCACAAGCTCGACGTCAAAACGCTGACCAGAGCGCAGACGAAAGCGCCGCGCAGAAGTTCATCTCCCTCTGTCTTCGATTCCCCCTCGTATTTGTTGGGATTCAATGACTTTTTCTGATGAATATCAAAATTTATAAAGGATTACTGGAAGATGCTAACCTTTGCGCTTCAACGAATGCCTATTAGGGGGGCCCCAGTCTTGCATGTGATGGCATCGGTTGCAGCCGTGTGGCTGCGATGCAGTGGAAGAGAAGGAATTCAAATGTTGTCAATGGAACATTTGTAAATTATTTGAGTGATGCAAATGGGGCGTTAACACTCTCATGCAGATTGGATGACAAAGATCCATCGACAGGTATAACAGTAAGTGACCTTGACGCATCACCCATGGCGGGATCAGCGAGTAAATAATTGAGTTATGTGCTCACGGGCGATTTTTTTCTTGGAATTTAGCGTTTTGAGCCTCTGCAGATGCTCCTCCTTGGGAGACTTTGTGTGAATCCGTGTGAATCATCTCCGTACGGCACTGACTGTCTGCGTGTGCAGACAGTTGACTGTGGCCTTGTGCTCGCGGGGAGATGCTCCGTCACTACACATATATGTATCAATTCCCGAGTGGTGTTTGTCGCCAACTCTTTCTTACGGGGTTCCCGGTTAGCCCACGTGTGATTTGTGAGCTTCATTCTAGAGGAAAAAGAGTGTAGGTGCAGTCACAGCGAGCCGCATTCAACATGGACGCAGTCTTCTGCTGCCTCCCTGTCCTTGATTCCTTACTCAGCTACATGCCTCTGTCACCCAAAGAGGGACGCGAGCAATAAAATGCACGCATAACTGTGAGCTTGGCGGGGATGGGTTGTATTGTTTTGGATGGCTCCGATACTCCTGATGGAGCTCATGCTGAGGTGATTTTGTTAGCTTACGATGCTACCGTTCCCATCAACTGCAGATAGTCGCTAATTCACAAGCGTGAAGCTGCAGTGGGGTAGATGCTCTTTTGAGCCGCTAAGACTGACTAGGAGCCTTCAGATTCCCCTTTTAAAGAAATTTGTCGCTGAATAATCCTGAGAGACCCTCCGCTGTTTTCTCCCGGCTATTCATCTTAAAACTTCACTAAGCCAAGAAGAATATCCTGGTGTGCATTTATCATGCGGAGTCCAGTAAACGTCTCTGCTTTTCACTTGCCTGCCACTCCCGGTTACAGCCTACATGCATTGCCACTTGTGAGAGATAACCGACTCAACTCGGATGAATCCTACAAAACAAATTGCTCGCTTCATCAGTAATCTATGGCGATTTCAACTCGCACACAAGTAGCGCTGCAGTTGCTTAACTGGTTGATTGCGCATTCCTGCACGACTTCCTGATATTAATTCCTAAACACTAAACCCTAAACCGTAACAGCCCATGCAAATGCTTGAGAAGCTTCTTTCTTGGCTGCAAGCAACGCTGTAGGCCGTACTACTTGCAGTTGTAGCATTGGTCGTTCTTCCCTGCCTCCTCCGCTATATGCCAATTCAGTGCAACTCCACGCATCTCATGTGAATGTTCACGGCTTTACATGTGAACAAATAAAAGCGAGATGTCTTATCTCGAGTCGGCCTGCATTCGTCAGGGATCAGCGGCAAGCATCTCACCTACCTGACCCTCTGAATTCAATCTTTACCAGAAAGCAAACCAAACAAAAGGGGTGCTGCTTTACAGCACCATTTAAAAATGCTCCACTGGGAGACTCCAAAGGAATGCTGAGACAGCATAAATCAAACCCTGATGCCAGCTAGAGTATGTAAGGCGAGAGCAGCGAGAGCAGCGAAGTTTCCCCATGTATATCTTAAACATGGTTTTCCTCTTCGTCTTCGTCATCGTTTCCATCGTCCTGCTCGTCTGTAGAAAGCCCCAACTCTCGCATTAGTAGTTGCTCCACCTATACCCGCAACGCAGTCGGTACACCCTCATAATCTTTTTGTTTCCTGTGGTTTGTAAGCCTCTTAAAGCCAAGCTGGCTGCACTCAGTGTGCAAACTCACCGCATCTCGCTGCTGAACAAGCACAAGCCGCTGCAGACGTTCGCGTAAGCTGCACCACAGGTCGCACGCACGCAACGACACACATATAAGTATGCATACATATATATGCATATATACGTATATTCTTGTAGAGCATACGCCCATATATGTAATATATATAAAAGGGCAGTAAAGCCGAACTACGAGCTCGCGTCTTTCATTAAGAATAAGATCCAAGAGAACGAGGGCAAGCAGAACGCCTTCTGCTGTCTATCGGTTGTTCAACTGAGGCGTACTGGCGATGCTTGTAAACATGGAACGATAGAGCGACCGCACAGGTCAGTGGGAGCGCTAAGAAAACAAAGAGGATGAAACAAACGAGCAAAGTCGCATCCGCCGAATCTGCACAATCAGAACATGTCAAGGAAAGAACCCACTGTGAGTAGGCACAGAAACCCTTATATTTTGCTCCCTTCGCACGCTCCCCTCATATATATATATATATATATATATATATATATATATATATATATATATATATATATATGTTCAGCATTGCTTGTACATCTATACCAGGTAGTAATCAGGCTGTCTGCAGGAACGCAGAAAGAGATGGATATGGTGGGCTCCTAAGCTACATTCTATAGAAGATTATTTAAAGTCGTTGCACACAGTTTCAGCCTGTTGACTCACCAATGACGAACCGCACTTCCCCCATGAATAGGCCGAATGGCTGTTCTTCATTTGGATAGAAACAAATGTGCATACGGGAAGTCGGGTGGTGTCCAGGAAGAGCGTCAAACAGCGCATCGCTGTTGTCCACTCCTTCCTTCAACGCGCTTCCAAAGCTGAATACAAAGGCGCACTGTTAACGCAAAAGAATATGAAAACCCAGTTGTTCATATATATATATATATATATATATATATATATATATATATATATATATAATGTGTGTCTACTCGAATATATGTTTTCTTTGCATGTATATAAAGAATATATATCAGCATCTGTTCAGGTAAACCATCCACATGGTCTGCTCCTCCCTCTCATCATCAGTGCAGCATGCGTTAAGCGATAGCGGCATCTGTAGCAACCTCAGGAGGGTTTTTGCATGCATATATAGAATATATATCGCCCTGAGGCAAAATGTTTGTTCAAATCAACGCAGAAGGTGAGCTGCTGCGTACACAAATCTCAGGGTGCCCTTTTGAGTCGCTTCATCCCATGAATACGCATCGGGTGCCACACTCAGCAAACTGTGCTCGTCCCAGAACCCTGCATAAGGAAAACACAAAAAAGCTTAACTTTCATAAACTCGCAAGCATGTAAAACAACAGTTCAGAGGCCCTATATATATATATATATATATATATATATATATATATATATATATATATATATATATATATATATATATACAGCCGTATGTATATATCTATACATATACGCATATGTGTATGGTACTACTGTGGAGGCATAGAAAACTCTGCAGCAAGCGAAATGAAGAAACAAGAAGCTGAAAACGAAAGCCCCAGGGCAACGCACCGGCGCAAGGTTGAGCACCAACTCCTCTGGATTCCTTTATGGCCAGCCGGTTGAATCGCGAAACATTTATTCCTTCTGTTACCGGGGAGCAACACACAAGCAGCATGCATGCATTGCATGAATGTAACAGCTACCATCCTGATATTAATATCAAAGCAATGAACACGCATATAAGCTAAGCTCTATCTTAAGCATCAGTGGCTGCAGGTTCCTTTTTCTCTCCTGCAGCAGAACGCGGGAAGTTTCGAGTCCAACGTACGGATATATCGGGTATACATCCACCCCGCATTAATAAAATGCCGAATTTGAATGGCTTCGGGTTCCTCTTGTGGGTTAACATCTGGCTGCGATGCGACAGCCGGCGAGAGGTGGAACTTCAGCTCTCCGACAAACGTTGCTGCATCTGCAGGCTGATCTCCCGTTTTTTTCTCTTCCTTTTTCCTCCCCGATTCATCTCCTTCTTCCTTTCCTTCCCTGTGCAACTCAGGCTCGCCCTTGGTCGCTGCATTCTGTCCCTCTCCTCCTCTTGGAGGCTGAACTGAAATCGCGGCGGCTTTTGCCTCAATACCGTCTTTTCTGACGTCCGTGCTGGCTTTATTCTGAGCCCCTTCTTTTCCTTTGCTTCTGGTCAAGAGGCAGACCCCAACGCGCCACTTCGGTTGCTCTTCTACCGGTGAATCTGCAACAAACAAATACAAGTAAACTGTGAATGCTCCTACACAATGCTGTGAAACAGCCTTCTCAGGTGGGGGCGCATGTATCGTAAGCAGAAACTCAATGCGAAGACCTTGATGCACAGCGACAGGAGGGGGAATAAATACACCTCTAGGACAACAGCTGCGCACGCGCTTACCTTGCTCTGCAGAGAGCCGACGCGCCTCGACGGTGCGGAATGCTGGCACCTCTCCCGGTTGATGCTCTGGTGCCGCCACTGGTTCCTCTTGTTTTGTCTCCGGCTGTATTTTTATTATTTCAGGGGGTTTTCTTAACCCCTCTGCGTTGGGTGTTCTTATTTCGTGCGGTTCCTCCCATATTTCTACGCTGTAGTCAAGGGCTGCAAGCACTTTGTTGATCTTCTCCTGTGAGATGGAGAAGGTGATGTACTTGGCTGGACGGCTCAGCTGCAGCTCAGGGGTGCATGAGAGCCAAAAGGGATCAAATGAAGTTTCGCTGTTCTTCTTCTCCGATACGCGTCGCTGCACCTCTTCGCAGGATTCCGGCATCCCTGGCGGTGCAGCCGCTGCATTTGTTGATGGATCTGATTCTGGGCCCCTCTCTGAAGCGGTGATAGGCCGCTTGATTAGAGCAACGCATGAGTGCTCCATAGGAGAAGGAGTAAGAGTCTGCCTCCAGTATAAAACAGGACGAGACAGTCTTGGCTGCGGCACTATCCCCATGCGAGCAAATAACAGAGGACGTTGCTCAGGGGTATCCCAGATAGTGGAATCATGCTGCTGAAGCAACGCTACTGCTGGGTTTTCGTCCGTCAGTCTGCGTTCAAGAGCGGCTCTAGCATCTCTGTTTAACCACATATTCAACCCACGGGAATAAGCGGTCCAGCGCCCAAATATGCGTATGAAGTGCGGGTCTTCCAGGGTCCCCCCCTTTTCCTGGGTTTGCATGTGAGTCGTTTCGCTGCCTTTTTCTTCTGCAGCTGAGGCAGAAGTGGAGGGAGACTCTGTCTCTGAGTTTTTTTGTTTCATCTTCTCGCGGTCTCGCGCCAACGCGCGCCGCAAGAAGAAATCGGGGGGGATGTCCATTGGGAAACTTTGGCCCAAGAAGGGCCCCTGGGGGCCTTCAAAAGAACCAAAATCCACATAAGGTTTACCGCCCCCATCCTTCCTGCAGTGTACAATCTGGCCGCCAACAGCCAGCGGTTTGATGCATTCGGCGTACGGAATAGCGCGAAACGTCAATCCTTCACTATCTTCAGCAGCGAAGGGGGACTTCTGCTGCTGCTGATGGTGATGTACGTCTGTTGCAGTTCCTTGAACAACAGGAGAAGGAGAAGCAGAGGCTGTTGCAGTTGTTGCTGCGACTGGTGGTGAGGCTGCACTGGCAAAGCTTGAACCAGCCGGCACTCCACCAAAATGCAATGCAAGCGCCAGTGCCCCAACAGCGCGGACAACAGCTAGTTTCTTGCGTCTACCAGGTCTCAAGCAAACGCCTCTGTCTTTTTTTGCCGCTGCCGAGCGGCAGATGCCGCAAGGAGGAACCATATGCCGAAATGGGAAACTGGTTCCGGGCGGCACGTGCGTCGTCGAGAAGCTTCACCCTCTTCAGACTAGTTTAATTCAGCTCATTCTCTGCAGATTCTGGCTTCAGATATCTCCTAGATGTGTTAAGGTTCTCTGAAACCGGCAACACGTAGTTGACCTGGTGGCGGGAGATGCCGCCGGACCAGGAGGCGGGAAGCAGGAGCAGCAGAAGAGAGGAAACCTATTCACTATGTATCACAACGAAAATAAAAACAAATTTAACAACAGTTTTCATATTAGTGATCATTTTATGTTCATTGGATGCGCAAGACAGACAGGCGTCGTCTGATCTCGTTCGCATGCGGCTACTGCGGATGGTCTTCTTCTTTGTTCCTCCAGTCGTTATTCTCTCCACCGTTATTTGTATTTATTCAAACTATTCTCAAGCTGTACTACACACACGCTCTTAGATCATTGATCGTTGAGACAGCTTCCATTTCCTCTTGTTTCAAGCTGGCGCTGATCGTGAGTGCGTTGCTGGTTGGTTAAGGCATTCAATGGCGAGGCCAGTGGGGGGGAAACACACCCCAACGATCATCGTGGGGCTTTGCCTTGCCTCTGCTGTCCTTCTGACATTTGCATTGCTGAAGAGTTTAAGATCGAAGAGGAGGAGCAGAGAAGAACAGGCGGCTCAATCAGGCTGCAAGCCGTTGCTAGAGGTAACCCCGTCCATACATATGACGTCATAGGAAAAGGGTTACGCAGAGGCACAGCATATGATGCATACAGGCGGAGCATAGGGAGCATACATTCACGTACACCCAGCACTCGTTGAACCACCGTTCTATACAGTTTGTGTTGAACCCGCACTCTGAAACCTTTTTGTTGCTGCCTTATAGGAGGAGGACCCAGTATCTGTCTCAAAGGCTGCAGAAAGATTTGAGGAAGCGCGAGAAGCTGTGGAACTCTCTGCTGGGAGTTTATCAAACGCCCCTCTCCTTCAGCTTTACGGTGTGTTTGCCTTTTGTTTTATCTATATATTTGTTGTATTTAAAACACCATCTTTCTGTACCATAAACCCTAAACCCTAAACCCTAGATTCAGGTATTTATGATACAGAGAAAGCACAGGCTTATTGTACCAATCGTGAATACTTGTGCTGCTGAAAACACCGCTGCTGCTGCAGGGCTGTTCAAACAAGCGACGCAGGGCGACTGTGAACAGAAGGAACCTTCTGTATTCTCTCTTCAAGCTCACTCCAAGTGGTAAATTCTTCTATTTCTTGTTCCTTTCCTTCGTTCTTTCTCTCCAAATTCTTTTTTTTTTTGTTTTCTTCTCCTTTTCTTATGTTTAGCTTCTCTTTGCGGCGTAGTTAGTTTCCGTTTCCCCTCTCAGAAAATTGCAGCACTTGTTGTAATCAAGGCAACAAAAGTACCAACTATATATACCAATAATATATATATATATATACCAATAATATATATGTATATATATATATATATATATATATANTATATATATATATATATATATATATATATATATATATATATATATATATATATATATATATATATACTGGTTTCAGGTCAGCCTGGCACGCACACCGAGGACTATCTGCTGATCTAGCGAAAGCGAAATATGTAACGTTGGCGGTGCAGCTTGGATTGCTTCGACAGCGAGGAGAAGAAGCTGATACTTTATCTGGAAAGAGAGGAGGAGCAGGAGTATGCAGAGAACCTCTTAGAAAATTTCTTCATATATAGACAGCATCACATGCACTCTTTTTGCTTCTATGTTTCTGTATTTCCTTCAACTGCTAGCTTTCTCGTTTCTCTCTTTTTTTTTTTATTCTTCATATGCATGCATTCGGTGCATGTACACCTGTCTCCCCTGCTGCTTCTTTTCTGGTTTGTTGTACACCTGCATCGCTTGCTGCTCCTTTTCTATAATATAATACTTTTCTTAGAGTTTTCGTAATAAGCAGATAACCAACAGAACAGTCACCGCAGCTTTTGCTTTTTTGCTGCTGGGATGCCAAACGTAAACTGTCGCATCAACGAGATTCTGTATCTGAAATTAATATAATAATAATATTCTTGATTGAATAACTGAGTGTGACATTATATATATATATATATATATATATGCATATACCTGTTGCTACATATATACATTATTTATTTATTTATATAATAAATATATATATATATATATATATATATATATATATATATATATATATATATATATATATAT